CATTCATCACATCACATCACATCACATCACATCACATCACATCACATCACACCACATTAGTTGCATGTATATATATATAAGTCTACATCATATATAAATAAATATATATATACAAACATATACATACATATGTGTGTGTAGCAACGTGTATACATGTGCGTAACTTCTTGTCCCTATGGCACACGTATATATGCATAGATCGATGCAGTTTCAAGTCTGCGTTTCAAACTGCGCAGCCTGTCCGAGGATTCCAGTCAGGTCATCAATGTTCCAATATTGGCTTGAAATTGGTATTTTCCAGGCCCGTTATGTATCGTTTTTTGTCATTAAAAGACGAATGGGAGATAGGTGAGATAAGCATTTTATGTCACTGCCTTCCATATTTCTCGATTTGGTTCCATTTGGTTATTTTAGATGTGTGTATTTCAGATGTATATCTACATCCCAGGAAATGTGGGAGAATGATCGGTAATCGACCCAAATACTGTTGGGAAGGGTGCCTCAACTACTATTCAAAGCAGGGCTTTGATACTAAGTTTGAAGCGGTTTCATCGAAAAATTGGTCAAAGGGATTTCTTCATGAAGGTTCTACCTTTGATTTGTGAATCAAAAAAGCGTGGTTTCCTGCAACATGTCCCAACAAGACCACTTCATTGTTTCCATCCGCCCACCCGCCAAGATGCCCCATTTTAATTTCTTCGTAGAAATCGTCGCATTTTCCCAGGTCCCCAGCAGTTTTCCCGGCTTCCCCGACTGAGATGGGGTCTTTTTCTCCTCTCTTCAGCTACCTGCGATCCGCCTTGCCTTCACGTGCGCATCTCAGATTTGTGAGGATTTCCAGGTGTGAACATATGCTTTTTTATATAACATATGATGATTATATATCTATTAAGTCTTTATGTGTGCATGTATATGTGCATTTACATATCAACCAGGGCTACCCATTTTATGCAATCAAATGTAATTTTATCATAAACTATCGATATAATATATGTGCATGCAAGTTGCTTGTTACTGTGCCACGTTTATGAACCCAACAGTGGGATCCATTTTCCCAGGCCAACCCCAAGAGCAAGCGGATGTCAATAGATGTCAATAGTTCCTGGGTTAAGTCAAAAAATCCTATAGTTCCTGGCTGGTTACAAAAGGGCCGCCCTTTGGGGCCTGGGGACTCTGGGCGGTTGGCAGATTCTCACTTTTCGGCAGATGTAAATGTGCAATTGCTCCTGCTCGCGGTTTCAATCTAATTTGATTGTTCAATCCCCATGTTAAGGGGCTACGTCCCCATTTTTGAGAAGAGCATGCTTCCCCTGGCTTCATCGCAGCCGGCAATGCTTTCACGCTTTCTTTGGGCAGGGAAGCAAGCTGCTGCATGCTGAGTGAAGCCTTATGTAGCTTGAGCCAGGCGCGATCAATTCCACCCGGCTGGGTGGGTCCACCATGCAGCCCAAAATCATCAGCCGTTCATGTGGTAAATCCCAGTACTGAAGCCATGAAACTGTGGATTCTGTGGTACTGGGCAACTGGAAGGTCAAGCCCAACATGTTTCCCGTCCTTTACTGGGGTGACATGTTGATCCATGGACATTAGGTACATCCGATTTCAGAACCTGAAATGCGGTTTGGATTGTTTATTGTAAAAACTAACTGCAGCCAGATATTTGTTGGTTGAATTCCCATGGTTTGTCGGCTCGTTTCCCATTTTTTCTCCTTCTTGACTTCCTTAGTGTTGGTGTTGTTGGTGTTGTTGTTGCTTTTGCTGTTGATTGATTGCTGCTGTTGCTGTTGCTGCTGCTGCTGTTGTTGATTGTTTGTTGCTGTTGTTGCTGCTGTTGCTGCTGTTGCTGCTGCTGCTGCTGTTGGTGTTGTTGGTGTTGTTGGTGCTGGTGGTGGTGCAGGTGCTGGTGGTGGTGGTGCAGGTGCTGGTGGTGGTGGTGCAGTTTGGTGGTGCAGTTTGGTGGTGCAGTTTGGTGTTGGTGTTGGTGGTGGTGTTGGTGTTGGTGTTGGTGTTGTTGTTGTTGGTGGTGGTGGTGGTGGTGTTGTTGTTGGTGGTGGTGTTGGTGTTGGTGTTGTTGTTGTTGGTGGTGGTGGTGGTGTTGTTGTTGGTGGTGGTGGTGTTGGTGGTGTTGGTGTTGGTGTTGGTGTTGGTGGTGGTGGTGGTGGTGGTGGTGTTGTTGGTGGTGGTGGTTGTTGTTGTTGTTGTTGGAACCCCGGTTAGCGTAAATACTTCTATTATCTAAATGTGATGTGTGCGTGCCTGCATGTTACCACATTTTCTTTGTGAATCTGAATCCGCTTGGCTACGACCCACACTTCACCGGCATCCCGTGCCGTCCTGTAGAGGCTTTGAGGAGACCAGCTCCCATGCAGCTGGGCCATATTGCCTTATTGGGTGCATGGACACAAGCAGATATAGTAAGATGGAGTAGGAAACATTGAAATTCTATAAACTTATATTGATTGTATTGTTTTTTCAACAAATATATCTATAGTTAATGATCAATGGAAGTAATCATGGAGGTAAGCGATCTAAATGGCAAACATTGAGATTAGAATGGGGTATTAAATAAATAGTACGAAATATATTGGGTATAGTTATAAAGTGATGGCTGGAATGTAACGTATAATGACTGGTTGAGCTGTTTTATTTCCAGAGGAAAACTCTGGTTTATGGCAGAACCAAACTAGATAATGGTGAAATGGACAGTTCCCCAATTGTGGATGATCTTCCCTCTCAAATCATACATATAATGTATACATGTATATAAATGAATATATATATATATATATAAATGAATATATATATATATATAAATTAATATATATATATATATATATATACATATGGGATTTCCCATTGCCACATTTTAATTACCGGAGGTTAACGGTGGCAAGAAGCTGCCGAGCGTCGGGTACCCTTTGGCAATACCACATGGCATGTTTTTTTAAAAAAAGGCTCCACTGCAGGGCTACGCTCAAGGCAAGACCCGGTGGTTTATCATCATTTTGTCATTATATATTGGATTCCCATATTCTTTGTTATACCTCATTATTTTTGCTATATGTAAAAATCAGTACAGCACCATTACCGGGCTTATGTTTCCAAAGACAAACGCATGGCACATTGCTAGTTACATGTCCCATCACCATAATATCTTCACATTTCCGTGTTTGATTCAATACGGATTCATGTTTACTTGTTTTAGTCCACGTGGGGGTTTTCATAAATGAGGGATCCCCAACATGGATGATTTGTTTCATGGAAAATCCACCCCAAAAAATAGATGAAAGGTAGGGGTACAGTACCCCCCGTGACTTTGTCAAGCCCCGATATGTGACATGTCGCCACACGTTGACGTCAAGCCCCGGCCTAGGCAGATGCCGGACATTGAGGTGACGATCAATAACCGGGGAGCCGTGTTGACCAACTGAGATTCAGCTAGTTTACTGGTGGTCCCATGAGTTGGATATTTTCATACGTTTAACCGCCAACCAGGTGTTTTTTCCCCAAACCTAACCAAAGTTGACCAGCACTGGATGGCCTACTAGTGTGTAGCATGAAATATCCAAGAGAGCAGTATCCAAAGGATGGGTATGAGTGCAGAAGCATCCCAAGAGTTATACACATGGATGGTTTAGCATGGTCCATTGTTCCATATGTTCCAGCAAATCAACATGACTAGCCAGAAAATCACCCCTTTATTAACGATTATATGCGAACCGCAGCGCTGCAAAAGTATGGGATCTTACAAATAATTACGTTGGTAATGTGTTAGGGTCATGACTAGCCTCTGGTAAACACACAGTTTGCTTTGGAAAATAACAATTTTTCATTATTTTTCCCCACCTGCCAGGTGAGGGTCTCTAGATTTTAGCAAAGGTGCGACACCTTCCTCTCCTTCTCTGCCAACTCCGGACGCAGTGGGCCATGCCGAGACCGGAACTCCATATCGCCAGGGTGCATGGACCTGAACTCATGCCAGACAGAATGCCAGCTAGGACACCAGATAGAATGTCAGAAAAGATGCCAGAAAGTACGTCAGAATATATCTCAGATAGAATGCCCGAAAGAATGTCAGATAGGATGTCCAGTACATGCCGGAAAGAAAGTTAGAATGTCAATACATCTATATATATATATTAATTATATATATATATATATATACCTCTGGCATCAAGAACCTACTTTTTTTTGGGTTGAAAATCAGAAACCTGGTTTTATCCGTAACATGGGAAAAAACATGTTTTTTTTTTTAACCTGGTTTTTCCTAAATAGCTAATATATGAGTACATTTTAGATGATTTGAATATGTTTATTGTTGTTCATCCCATGCCAATTGACACCAGAAGGGGGCGGCCATCCATGTTTAATCGAACCCAAATGGTTATGTGATTGTTCTTTGTGTAATTAAAATAATATTGTGGTGTGATTTGCAGGTAGAGCTAAGCTCAAGGCACCCCAAGAAGAAGGTGTCCATTGCATCAGTCATAAATCAGGTGAATCAAGAATTTCAAGTATCCAAGAATACCAACCAGATAATGATATCCGATATTTGGGTAGATATCCCACAACCACTTCTGGATTATTTGAACAATGGATTTTCAAAATGGGATCTTTATCACAATTATCTTAAATGAATCAAATATTCTATATAGATCATGAACCATGAACCCTTTAGTTCCTACCCGGGGCATCCGTCTGCCTTGCAATGCGTGGCTACAACATTAGCTACCTGGGGAAGATGAGATCTACGTCTGGACACCCAGCGCAGGCTTTTTGGTCTGGGCAATTGCGAGGGTGATCATCGAATCCATTCTCCTTGGTTTGGCCAGATTGGTTGATTGGAAGTTTTATTATACTCCTTGGTTTAAAGACTTTTCCAGGAACCATCTGCTATCCATCACTCTTTTGAAACATACATGTTACATGAAATCAATCATTTCTATCAGCAACATTTTGGATCACCTGTGACCTTTACGAGGGATTTGGTTGGCCTTGCCATGAAGGTGGCAGGGCTAGCTAAGCTTTGGGATTCTGATGCTCATGTCAGAAGTCGTTGCCGAGAGCATCGTCGCATGAACTTGCATCCCGATACCCAGAAGTGGTGTGAACCAACCCGAGCAAATTGCGTTACGAATGCAATGATCTTACTTCCCTGTTTGGACCGTTTGGGGAAGACCAAGGGCTACAAGTTGCCACACCTCGAGCAGTTGCAGGTTGAGATTGAAAGTCTCTTTGAAAAGATGAGGATGCCTATTGACGAAAAGATGATCTACCGCAACTCTACCGAGATAAAAAAAATGTTGGGCTTTGTGAAGAGACGTGCCAACAGAAAGGAGGTGACGAAGGACTGCCATGTTTCCCAAAGATCCCCAACATTCCTAGAACCAGCCATCTATGTAACTGTAGAGTTGAGTCCATATAAGGCTTAAAAATTGTTGGCCAAATTATAGTCTGGACTTCGCTCAATTGGACGGTTGACTATCCAAGCCCCAAATCAAGTCTTCCATAAAATGTCATGAATGAATCAATGTTATTTTTTAGACAAATGATTCTTTCTAATCCTCCAGTATGTGGTTAATGTGCATTTTCCCCAGTTTCTGCCACTCACTGCAGTGAAGGATCGAAAGTTCCACGAGCTTCTATTGGCATTGAATCCTGAGTTGAAGGACTGCGAGGGGGTATGTCATGCGCAGTCACCCCAAACTTTGACTTTCAAATCAGAACCGCCCTTCAAATTCATTTCTTATAACTGGCTTTTGATCTTTGATGCAGATATGGATTAAAATGCGCTTATAATCACATAAGTGTAATGGAAACCAACCACTGTTTCAGGATGTGATTGACGACTACATGTCCAAAGCCCTTCCAGCTCCATCCCCCGCGGAAGATGAAGCTGATTGTGAAGATGATGAAGAAGATGATGGGGATGAGTCATATGCAGCTTTTACCAAATGGTTGGATGAGAGCTTGGCTGGTGATGATGGTGGTGAACAATCCAAGGGTGAACCTGTTGCTACACCTGCAACACCGGCACCTACACCTGCTGCAGCGGTTGCTCCCAAATGTTGTCAGCTTTGCCAGAAACCTTTCACTGAATGTAACTTGGTTCTATCTCAAATATGTGATTTACATCTTGCCTGGGACGGGTCAACCGCTAATTTGGGGGCTTTGGTTACACCCAAGGTTACAAGATCTCGTACTTGACCCGGTCATCCTGTTTAGCCAAGGTTCTTGCAAGGAGAAAATGCTTGAACTGAAGGCCAAGATTGCAGCGAAGAAGGCAGCAATTGCAGAGTTTCTCGGTGAACGCTGGGTTCAACATGTCCACATGGGCAATGTAACATTGAACCAACCGTTCACTTGCCTCAAAAAAAAGGTGTTGTTTATCCAATAAAAGTTTGAAGGGGTGATGATGTCATACCATCAAAAATCAAACAAACCCGAAATATTGTATATCAAAAAGATTTTTGGAATGAACAGTTGGGAACAATTCATAATCTATATCAAGGCTTGGCCAATAAGTTTAAAAGATATCGCCATGAAATATGTCCTCATGCTTTGCGCTAGAGACAGCCACAACTGAATGAGGAAAGAAGCCGAAGCACTTCTGAACCAACAACGTTCCAACGCACTTGGCAAAGGTGCCTTTGATACCTCACCGTGGTGGACGTACTGTTTTCAATACCAACATCAGTATTGGAGAAGTTTCGAAACATTGGTTGGTGCCTTCTAAAAGCACATTTCTGTCTCACCTTTCTTTCTCCAGGGTTTACGCCATAATTCAGATTTATTTGTTTTTATTTGGCCCTTCCAGGCACTGGAAGTTCTGAAGATATCTGCGATACTTTGCCCTTGGACATTGACATGCCAGATGCACATGCCCGTGGGTCAGGGGTTGACATTCCACCATCTCAGCCTCGACCTGAACCGTTCATGCTGGCTGAAGCTCCGCCCCCTTCGACTTCGCATGGTGGGACCGAAGGCTTGAATGACAAGCCGCCACAGGCGGGCTGAACTACTCAAAAGGGTTTTTGGATGTGCTCAAATTTCAAAGTTTAGACATGCCTCATTGGGCAAGATTACCATAGACATCAAAACCCGAAGCATTGTTGGAGCACATATGCTCATTATATTTTTTCAAGCCTAGCGCACTGAAAGTTGAGAGAAATTATTACAGAAGAAGTCTTTATGCCATTTATGTATGGCCTTCTTCAACTTTTCATTGGAGTAAAAGTTGACAGCTTTCCTGTCCTCAGGCAGTGCTCACACGAAGGGACCAGCTGGAGGCCAAGAAAAAAGCGAAGGAACCTGATCAAGATGATGGTAATGAAGATGGGACGCAGGAGGCACAGAAAAAGCCAGCAGCGAGATCCAAGGCAAATGCAAAAGAGAAAGCTCAGCCAAAGGCGAAAGCCAAGGTTCAGCCAAAGCCACAGGCTTCACCAAAGAAGCGATCCAGGGGTGCAAAAAGGCTGGAGCCAAAAGAGGAGGAGAAACCTGCTGTTGGCCCCAAGCCAAAGAAAGCGAAGATGGAAGAGGCACCAAAAACGCCACCCACCGACTGCCAGCTCTTTCCCGATGAAGATCCTGAGGAAGAGGAGAAAGAGGTGGATCCTCCAGTTGAAGAGGAGCCAGTGGTTTTGAAAAGGCCAGCAGCAAAGAAGGCGAGGAAAGCATGCAAGGAGGAGGAGAAGGTGCCAGAGCCTGACGCACTTGAGCCAGAGGCGCCTGAGGCAGAAGTTCAAGAAAAGCCAAAGAAGAAAGCCCGAGCCAAAGCGAAGGCAAAGGCGAAGGCGAAGCAATCCCCAAAGAAGAAGAGAGAAGCAAAGTCAAAGGCTGGGTCGAAAAGAAAGTCCACAAAGATTAATGCTGAAGAGCTTGGGGAGGATGAGGAGGCTGATGAACTGCTGGATGACACCATGAAGGGCATCGTGCTGACAATGATCAAGGAAGTCAAGTCTTGCACCTTTGATACGCTCAAGGAGGTCTTGCTTGAAAAGAAGGAGAATTTGCATCTTGTCAACAAGCATGCCAGGCTCAACATCTACTGGACTAAGTGTTCGGGTGCGGTGTCAATGCCTGTGGCCAGCGATCCGAAGGTGCGCTTTGATGCTTGTGCCTTTGCTTTCAAGAGAGGTTCGTGGAACAGTCGGATGGCAGCTGCATTTGCTTGCTCGTTCATGGCAGCCACTTGTCTGCAATTATGACCAACTTTTATATAACATCACATTTGAGCCAAAACCTTACAAGCCTTCACCTGTTTTTTTTGAAATCGAACAAATCAATGTTTGAAACGTCACATCTCTTTTCCACATGGAATGGTTGGGCCAAGCTTCACCGTCTGAATGGTATGCCGTCCCAGGTTCAGTACATCGACAGTGCGGATCAGGACGTCCTGAAAGGCATCGGCACTTGTGGTTCCAAGTTCGAAGTGGAGATCACCAAGATCACTTTGAATGCCCAGCGTGCTATCAGGGAGAGTGAGGGAAAGTGAGTCATGGGTAGGGATATCAGTCCGGTGGTCATTTTGCATTGGGCCATTGGGCACTTTAGCTTCTGCGCTGATTCCAGCAACACCTTGGAGGTGAAGTTGTATATTCAAATAATACATTTGGGAAAGTTGATATCAAATCCATCCAATCTCTTTCGAATCCTGTATCAAAATCATTACAGATAGATGTCCTGAACATGTATGATATAACTTGGTTTCATCAATGTATACTCTATATGTTTGCATGCTTGGCCAAGAGGCAACCAGTGCAGACTAGTGTCCACTGAAAGCCGCTGCTTAGATAGAGCACCATCTTTTCCTGAATGCTCGGGCTTGGGAAGATTGGGCCACCCAAGAAATCCATTGAATTGGGGGGCCCACCAATCTGTAGGGAATGTCCGAGATGAATGTTACCTCAATTTTAGATCCTAGGTAGGGCTGGTGTGAGATCTTCAGGGCAATGCGAAACTGCCGAAGAAAAGGTTCAAGAAAGCATTTCGGTCACCCCCAAGACCACCAGTTTGATAGATCAACCAAATGGTTACTGGGAATTTTACTTTTGGGGCTATGATTCAGTCCTAGATCCCGTCATCATTAGCTGCATTTCATTTGCATTCCAAGCATAATTATCAAAATATTTACCCTACAAAAGCTGTTTTTTTTATTACAAGATCAGTTTATCATACCCGAGGCTTTCCTTCGGAACCTTTGCAACAATTGGCTACATGTATCAATAGTACATAATTTCCGTGGTTGGGAAATCCATGAAAGTTTTATATATTCCTATTCATGGGTTGCCCTGCATGTTTGGGTCCTGTAACTCTTTGGCTTTATTTTATCCTAGTGGTCTCACCGCTGGCTCTCTCAGGTCACTTCATGCCGAAACTGAAAGGCAAGAAGTGGGCCCTTAAGAATGGCTTGGACAATGAGCCTCGTACTCCTGACTCGTTTGCTGTGGTGATTGGAGTGGACATTTATGAAATCCTTTGCTTATGAATTCTGGGCCAATACCATTGGACAACATAACCAAAACTCGAAGTGATATGAATGGCATTATCCCAATCACAAACTGAAAAGGATTGAAAGGCAAAAGGCCAAGGAAATCAGAGCGAGTATCTTGAGTGCATCCATTTATTTTTTGTTTGAATGCATGTTTGTTGGAAAGGACGTCATTGGCCAGTCCCATTCATAGCCATTGTTTGCCCAGTGACTAGCTGCGCAGTGTGGCTGGTGGGAAATCAACTTGGAGTCCTTGGGCATGGAAATCAACCCTTACCAAAATTGATTTCAAAAGGGTGGTTATCAAAACAATATGACAGTCATGGTCCAGGTATTTTCAATCGTTACTATCACACCTATTAACCCAAACAACTTTGCAAAGATATATATTGTTTTTCTTGAGAATGATGGGTATCCTACTACTTGATTCATTACCTGATCCAGCCGGCTTGCTTTGAAGCCATGAACCGCAGCAAAACCTTTGTCGATCAACTGGTTTGGCGCCTCATGACACTTGGAGCTCCTAAGGTGCTTTGGTCAACATTCGATGAGTGTCGACTTTATATACTGTATTGAAAACCACAAGTCAAGCAATGACTTAAAAACATATGCTACAGATTGATCTAGTAAGGGTGATATATTTCCGGAAGTCTCGGTGAAGTCATTTTCACCTCTTGATGTAAAAATGTATTTTGGGTTGGATCCTCAATTGATCCCAAAATAGAAGCATTGCATGACATGGGAAAACCATCTGTAGGACAAGGGTCTTTCATATCCAGCAGTCCCCCTCCAGGTGATGGTGTTCGCGGTGTTGATGACACTTTGGACGCAAGACGATGCCTTTCAAGCACTTGGCGGGAAGGACCAGTGATCGGGGAGGGAAACCCTTCCGTGAAAATACTGAAAACTAAAGGTTTTGAAAATATCATAGACTTAGGGAATTCCAAGTTGTTTATTTGCCCTGGTGGTGCAACTCTAAAATTCAGGAGAAATCTCGTCCCTTTCAGTGGGTTGAGTTCTTTGCGGGGAAGGCGGAGGCAACCAGAATGTTCAAGGAAAGCGGATTTAGCACTGCAAAGCTGGACATAAATTACATGGACTTCGCTACGGGAATGAATCCGATGGACCTGTTAACAGATGCTGGTTTTGCGTTGCTAGGTTCATCTGAGCAGTAAACTTCTGGTTTTATCCCAAAGGATTCAAGGATCTATTTATTTTATTTTTTTACCTCAAATCCCTGAACCCACCAATTCCCAATACCATCTAGCCATAGTTGACTCGGGGGATTCCAAGGCTAGCCATATCCACCTGTCTCATGGCGGACCATGACAATGGCTGGGCATGTTTGTTTGGCCTCAAGTGCAGCTCCTTCTCAACAATGAACGCAGGGACTTCAGGAAGGAGTCCTTGTACAGCCATTGGGAATGTGAACTTTCCATCTGTCAACCAAGGGAACATTCTAGCATCGAGGAACCTTATCATTTCCATAGATGGTAAATTGTAAATTGTTTCTTATTTTTTTCGTTTCTGGCAACTCATCTTTGTGCGTCCATGTCCCCCAATGAAGTTACAGACTGCATGACTGAAACACCTAAGGGTGATGCTGCTGATACTCTTGGTTGTAGCCTTGGGTGGCACATTCCTCATCGAGCAACCGGCAGAGAGTTTCTTACAGTATTACCCACGGTTCCGAGAGATGATCGCCCTTCTGCAACATGCATGTGGTACACATTCTGTACCTTGTATTGAATCAAGTGACCCAAATGAGCATCTCTTAAAGGGTTAAGTACTAATTAGATGGCCATGTTGAAAGTTTGTGCTATGGGTAATGTGTGATAAGAATTGGCCAGGGACCATTTGTTGAAGACAACAAGTTTTTAAACTGATGGGTCTATAAAACAGCAGTCAAGTGTCTCCCGCTGAGGTGCATCGCATAACCTGGTGGATGCGGTCATATGGAGGACCAACACCGAAAAGGCATGTGCTGTATGCAAACTCGCCGGCAATCCAGTCCCCATACAAAGGTAGACTTGTGGGATGGTCAAAACATATTAAAGCTCAAGATGCAGCTGGTGTTGCTCGTGTAAAAACAGTCGACAAGTACGTTGACAAAAGTGGACAAGTACGATACAAGGGCTCCAAAGGGCTACGTCCAAGTGAGTCAGAAACCTATTTGTTACAGAATGTCATCTTTCAGACTGCAATGTTCAACTATATACTTGTGAATCTCAAACACCAGTCTTGTTGCAAGTGCTTTTTCACCATCTTTAGTCTTGCCCGCTCAGGAATTACCCTGCGGCATTTGGTCAGAAGCTGGTGTCCATCTACAAGCGACTGATCACTGAGAAACATGGATTGCCTAGCTTACCATCACCTCTTCCCTCAGCAGAGGAATGTTTCAACGAAATGCAGTTTGACGATACATGGAAGGATGCCGAAATGGTATCTGTATGTCATTGGTTACGTGGTGGAAAGGGATTAGCTATTCCACTATCTTTTAGATCACTCTTGCCAGTGAAATTGTAAAGCTCTTTCCGAGTATGTTCTGGAGATCCTGATAGTTTGGTAGAATTTCACTATCTTTGTTGGGGATGTTGTGGACTCTTGCTACTGACATATGATGATTTTCAACAGCCAAGTTAGTAGTTATAACAAATATGTTAGAAATCGATGGTTTTCACCCGTAATCTACCGTAACGATGCCGTAACAAGGAAAAACCTGGTAATTCCATTGTTTTGTTAGGTTATTTTTTTTCCCCACCCATAAAATTTTATGGGTAAAACGTAACGCCGTAACGTACCCGTAATTTACCCGTAAAATCCCGTAATTCACCCATAAAATTTTATGGGTAAAAATGGGAATTACCAGGTTTTTTTATCTTAAAATTTATGTTATTTTTAAAGGCTTTTTTACGTTTTTGTTGGGAATATGTTGGTACCGAGTGGCAAATCTCCAAAACTGCTAACGCTGCAGTTGGAAATGCAGACCAGGAATGAGCAGCTGGCAAGTACCTTAGCACGTTGCTGTTGCAACGAGTTGCTAAATTAGAAAGCTCTGATGGGAAACACAGCTTGGGATGGCAAAAAACAGTTGACTATTCCCTGTGACATCTGGTGGCTGGATAAAGCAAAGTCAGTTGAAGCATAAACAATGTTTCCACTGCATGTTCAATCTGCAGTTTCTACTATGAAGCATTTGGTTGAACTTGTGATCTGGTTAGCCCATCTAAACCAGGTTTAGGTGGGATTGCACTTGATGGCCTTTTTGAGGGCTGATACAGCCAAAACAATGAAAAGTCGCACTTGGAGCACTCATGAATTGACCACCGGTCTGACCAACCTCCTTGAAGCCAACTCACTGGATTTGCCAGACGACTTGAGCCAGCTCAAGGACGGCTTGTTCCTCATTCGGGCAATCGGGAAACAACATGTGTTTTTGGTGAATGTAATGATTCAACCCCACAATGCAGCTGTCTTTCACCTCATGGTTTTGCATGTTGGGATAGATGTGAACTTTCAACTGTAGGATATATTCAACAACATGTAGCTTCTATTCAGTTTGGTTTCATGTCATGTTCCACTTTGTGTCCATTCCAGGAATTGGAAGCGACTTTAGCGAATTTGGAAGCAGCTCAGGCAGCTGACTGGCCCTCAGACTTGGATGGATCCAGATGTATCATAAAAACTAGTAACAGTTTACTGGGGTGTCACATGGACTCTGGAAACAAAAAAACATCCACCAAGGATGCAGCCAAAGCCGAGTTGATGAATGTGGCAGCTTGTCAAGAAAGTTGCATCAATCTCTTCCCAAAGAAATGGAACTACAACACTGGTAGGATGTTATAAAGTGTTTCATGTCAGTGGTGCGCTTAGGCAAGCCCTCAAGCTTCGCGTCCTAAAGAGCCGCCGCAAGTGGAACCTGCTGAGGAACTTGAGACGCAACCAGCAACAGAGAGCCAGGTTGCACTTAGCTTGGCTAGTGGTAAAAGTGACCAGAGTATGTCTCCAACAACACCAGCCATGTCAGCTCCGTCCACCCCACAAGATGCCGCAGTGGTTCATTGGCTGAAATTGTTTTTTTAATACCCATTTGTTTTGCACGTTTGGTAAATTCATATGTTCTATAATTGATACTATATAATATATGTGTCTTTGGTTTAGCACATGCTATGTCGACCATACACACCTTCCCCAAGTGTTCAAGAGCACACATGCCCTTCAGGTTCGCCAGCGAGTGATTGAGATGTTCAAGAGCGGCCAACTTGACGCGTCTACTGCTATGCAACTCTTGGCGCAGTCAGCTGATCCCGCACCGGTGTCTTCTGAGGTGGCAGGTAGTTCCAAGAAAAGCAGTGTTCCCGAACCAGATCAAACACAAGATGATGATGATGAGTTAGATGAAGCCCTAGATGAAGTCACGCAAGATGATGGAACCAAACTTGATTCTTGACTGATATTTTAAACAATCTTTATCTGGACAATTAGCCTGCATAGGGGTTTTATCGATTAACCTACACACGGTGCCTATCCACATGTTCCGCAGCCCAGGACAGCAAAGCGAAAGCGGCTTTGAAAGCAAAGCTGCGCAGGTTGTGTGAAAAGAAGTCAGGAGACAGGTTGATGGTTCCCGAGTGGTTGCACAAGAAGTGGAAGGAGGGTAACCATATGGCTTTGGCACTTGAGCTGCAGAAATGCAACTTCGATAAGGACCCCAAACACGTGACATGATCATATATGATCGAGATATGATATGTTTTCGAATCAACGCCAAGCTTCGTTGTGTATAGTTCTCAATCTTGGGATGTGGTGCCACACCTCACAGGACAAGTTCATCAAGAGTTGTGAGAAGACATACACCGAGATTGACAGCAAAAAACACAAGATTTTCGGTGGCTACTACACGCGTGAGACCATGAAAACCAAGTTGAAGTGGAACCAGAATCTTGAATTGATTTAAACATGCTATAGATTGGTATCATCAAAGGGTGTGGTCTGGTCCTTAGGTCTATTAACCAAATGTTTTAGCACACTGAGATGTAAGGAAGAAAATCGAGGGTGCAATCAAGCTATGCGAAGAGGATGCCTCAGGTGAACTTGTGAGGCGGGGCCCTGTGGTAAAGCAGAAAGTAAGTGTAGAAGGCATTCCACCTAGGTACATCCCTGCAGTTGTTGTTTTTTCTTCCTTTGCAGGAACTGCAAGTACAGTGGCGAGCCAGAGTACTGGGTGGACACAGACGAAGTTGGGGAAAGGGGGCAAGAGCGGGAGTACAAGAAACAGCGAAAGGAAGTGACAGAGGATATCCACTGTTCAATTGTTATCGACTGTTCACACAACTTGTTTATTAATGCCAAGTCACTTGAAGCTGCCACATATTCTGTAGATATAGCCACCCAGTGATGCAGAAATATATATCGATATCGCCCACACTTCCTCGGACCAGGACACTGAGAAAACTCCCATTGAGAAGCCTGACCAATCCCGAATTACGTCTATGGCATCCCGTGATGCTGCCTCCAGTAGTCTTGGAGCTTTGGGGACTTCTGAGGCATTGTTACCACAACAAGTTGGTAGAATGGGGTCTATATCAATTAAGCCAACCATAACCTATGGGAACAAGATACAACACAGTCTTAAAGATATCATTTTGAATTAAGGGTGTCTAATGGCATTTGAACTGGAGAAGTTGTAGATTCTGTACCCTGAAGGCAATTCGTTCCAAGTCGGTTTTGTCCAAGTTCTGCGAAAGCATTTTGCAGAAGTCTGCAAAGATCCGCTCCCTAGTGCAAGACCTTCAGAAAAACTATGCCGATCCAGCGGCCATGAAGCCATAAGCTTAGACCAAACAACCTTGGTATTTTTCCCAAGTTTTTGTTGGGTTCCGAGTTTTGTCACCAACATGCTAGCATAAACTCGATAAGTATACGTGAACGCTTGAACCGTGCAAGGTCTATTGAAGCTCTACAGCGTGATCTTGTGGCGCTGGAGTCCTGCTACAACCAGTGTTCGGAGTTGCTGGCACAGGGAGAGGCCAAGGACTTCAACAAAGAGTGATTTGGCTTAAGGTATCATGTGAATAGCCCCAAACTTCAACATACTTTCAACATTGATTCCAATTTGCAACTATCCTTCAACCATCGCCTGGGGTAGCTTCCCTTCAAGACTGATGTTACAGTACCTTGTTTCTCAAATGCCACATTGAAAATCTAAGTTGGTCTCAGCAATCCGAGAAGATGATGAAGGATTGCACTTTGACGTGCCTTGGGTGCAAAATGAACTGCCATTGACCACGTATGAAAACTCGGTGTGATTGTAGAAAGTAAGGAATATAATCTTTTGTTTTGGCTACATCCCAGTGATAAGTTCCACTACCACTAAACCACTGCATGGCTTCCAGGTGCACTCGCATTGTGCAGAACGAGCCCAAGATTCGGCATCTTGATCTTGACTGATGGCGAACGACATAGCATAGCTTTCCTGGGATGGGGTCATATTCACACGAACCCACCAATTGCTGAACTGTGATCCAATCCCTCTCTTTGCGCAACACAATGCATCAATTTGGGGATTATGTTTTTCCCTGCATGTCCTAGGAGTGCAAAGCGCCACTTCCAAAAGACAAAGGCCAAGGAGGAGAAGAAGGACGAGGAAGACAAGTGAACCGGATTCTTTTTCCGACGTGCGTAGTTGAATGATTGGCTGAAATGCTGATCGTACTAGGATCTGTGTGATGCTGATTGGAAGTTGTGTTTTTTCAACGCAACTCGATACTCTACTCTTGGGGTGTGAAGCCTGTTTCTTGCAAACATGCGCAGTCCCAGTGCTTTCAATCCACAATTTATAATAAATAAACTTATCACAAAAATATGAAAATTGAGACACTAAAAATCAAGACCCTTGAAGTCTTACAAAGAGGTACAATCTGGGAATAGTTGTTTCTTATTCAAGATCGTATTTTCATCTTTATGTCCGTGAAGCACTGCCTGCGCGTGAGTCAAGCATATGCAGGATGTTTCTTGGATATGTCGGCAACAGGCCATAGGTTCCATGTCTCATGAACCTTTCCATGGGCAATGACGGCAAGACTAGTGGGAGAAAAAATGCTTGAAAACCTGAAAGCTTTGCTGAGGTTTCTTAACTCTACACACCACGATACCACCTACCAGAACCAAATAATAATCTGTAGCAAGAGGTCCATGTCCTGGAGATTACATAAGACTCTTTGCCAGGTCCGGGGCCTACTGCTAGAGTCTTTGCAGCCAACGTTGGTTCTGGAGTCCGGCTACTCAGACTCAGACACCCCAAAACATATTTGGGACATTCAAGACACCAAAACATCAGGCGAGACTACCAACGGGATTGCCACAGCGTGCAGTGTGCAGTGTGCAAGGTTTTGTCCTCAAACCAAGTCATGGCAGAATACATATCCCCAAAAATACCATAGCATGAAGTTCAGCATATTATTCCAACACTGCTCTCAATTAACTATTCTTGGATGAACGCAATCTAAATGGATCCAATTTCCAGTGGGTTTCATCAATATTTTTTGATACAAGATGCCATTTACTTTATATTATAGCGTGACTGCCCTGACCACCCTGCATCCATTGCACAAGTTGCCATGGGGCATGCTCGCAGCGATGACGACGATGATTTTCTGACTGAGCTGCTGACCTGTCATCGCTCGGTGCTTTGGCTCAACAACTTGAACCATGCTCTGTAAGCAATTTGGTTGTCATATATAGTTGTTCAAAGATTTAACACCCACATCATTTCACATTGCCAGTGGTGAGGCTTCCTTGGGTCCATTTCCTTGGCAACAGCTTGAAGATGATGGGGCCAAGAGACACACCGAAGGACAAAAACAAATTAGAACTGACCCCATGCCAGTTTTGCATGTGCGTTCTTCAGGTTTGGGGTTGAGCACAGCGACAGCACCTGTGTCTCAGACTGCTTTGGTTCCCCCATACCTCCAAGATCCAGAACTTCGGAACTTGGATAGAACCGTAGAAGTCTTCGAAAAGATTGAGATGGAGCCCCACATGTCTTTCAAGTTACCAAAGCCTGGCGCTACAGCTGGCTATGTTCTAGAACACGGGGCAGCAGTTTTTGAAGCTTTGCATAAGAAACATAGCCCCATGACCTTCAAATTTGGGATCACACATTGCGCTCATTTCAGATGGTTTCATCGGCCTTATGGATACAGATATGGAGTAGAGAAGTTCGAACACATGCTGATCCTCTATGCTGCTTCCAACCCATTTGGTCCTGCCTTCTTGGAAGCATCCATGGTCCAGCGCTACAGCAGTGCCAAGGCAGCACACCAGAAGCAACGAACGTATTCCACATTGCTTCATGGAAACATCTTGGAAATGTGAAGACACATATTCTTCAGTTGAATGTACTGTTCTTTTATGTCTTCAAACTTTCCCTAGGAACCTTTGCTCAGATTTGCATTCTGAGGTTGGCAAGGCTGTAAAAACATTAGACGCGGCGGCGACTCCAGTGAAAATAGCTTTGAGGACAATGGTCCTTTCTTGACCTATGTGGTCTACCGAAGCTTTAAACACCCTCCTCCAATTCGACCTCCATGTTCTACATGGACTAAGCCTTGAATGGATGATGATATATTTGTGTGGTCTCTGTTTGATCTTGTGGAGATCTAATTAAATGGTAGAGAAGATATGGCTGATTTGCTTGCGCTTTTCTGTAAAGCGTGCTGCATGCCTTGCAATGGCATTTCGAAATTCAAACGGTGGAAAAAATGTTCCTTGATAGCTTGGGACTCGTGTTTTCTGAGTGTACGGCACTGTGACTTCAGATCTTGAGAGATACAATGATTTTGATACTGGAATGGTTTTCTCCAATCTTTATCTCTGGAACATTGATATGGTTTCCCTTTGTTTTCTGCAAACCTTGACCCCATTGATTGATGCTGTTCATCCTATGTCGGCTTGCTAAGGCCTCATGCACGTCGCAAATCGAGACTGCAAGGGCTGTGGTATCCGAGATGGGTGAGGGACAAGCCCACCGTTCTGGGATCAACGATTGGGCAAAAGTAGACTACAAAAATAGTGAACGAGATGTTCAATCAATTGTGGACAAACAGGGAACACGGCTCAAACTTCCCATCACTGAATTGGCAATTCGTGGAAAAACAGTTCCATGGATCAGTCCAAAATCCTGGTTTGAGTACTTAGTCAACAACGGGTTGCTGTACATGCTATCTGGACTACGGTGTGATGAGGGATGCCATGTAGGATCCACTTGGAAAGATTTCTGGAAAAAATATGAGCAGCTGCATCCTACTTTCAGTTTGTTTGAGGATCCCAGTTTCGACCCTGCTACAACGATTGGTATGTATTTGCATCGGGATGAGGGACGAACCCTCAAGAAGTCAGCCCTCATGGTAACATCGCTGCAAAGCATTCTTGGTTGGGGGTTTGACAAAAAGCGCTTGAAGAGGCCTAGACATGAAAGGTCCCTGGAAATCAACTTCGCAGGCCACACATACACTACTAGGTTTGTGGTGAGTGTGATGCCAAAAAGTTTCTACGCTTCTGACCCGGAAGTTTTTCATGATATGATGGAGGAACTGAGTAAAGAGCTGAGTGATATTTTGAAGAACGGGATCCTTGACCGCGCCACTGGAATCACCTACCGCGTATGCCTCTTAGGAGTCAAAGGTGACATGCCTTACCTTCAAAAGTGCGGAAGACTCAAAAGAAGCTGGAATACAACTGTTAAGCGAGGAACAGCGCGTAAGGCACCGCCTGGTGTGTGTCACTTGTGCTTGGCAGGCACCAACAGTTTTCCTTGCGAGGATACATCCCATGACCCTGCTTGGAGAGACACTATCGCAGTGCGGGACCCCTTCGACCAGCTGCCAGCACCTTTGAGGTTTTTGCCATATGATAGAAATGATCGTGGGTCTTATTTCAAACCAGATTTATGGCATTGTATTCACCTTGGTGTGGGGAAATCCTACATTGCATCAACTTTGCAACTTGCTTTGCCTGTGGTCCCGGGCAACAACAACGACGAGCGTTTTGCATGGCTGAGTGAACACTACATTGCATGGTGCAGGTCAGAAAGGACTTCGTGCCACGTCTCCAAGATTAGTGCATATTTAATTTCTTACAACGATGCTACAGGTGCAACTGGAAATTGGAGCAAAGGATCTGTGACTCGAAACCTCATGAAGTGGAGAGTAGATACTTTTTTTGTCGCTGCCGGATGCCGGTGCCGGATGCCGGATGCCCACACAGGGATATCTGCCCAGTACAAAGGTGGCCAGTGGGAGCTCTTTCGAAGGCGTCGGAGCAAATCACGCGCGCTATTGCCATCTGGTCTTTTGTTTCCAGCAAGGTCAGTGACATGGTGTGTCCCAGCAGCATTGGCATCTGCAAACAGGGAATGGGCACGCTGGGCTGCAAGGTCACCACTTAGAAACAAATCAGACAAATTAGCGCGAAAGCGCTTGTCCGGTGGCAAAGTGCCAGGGTCATAGGGCAACTTCTTCTTAGAATGCATGACGTGGCTGCGGGGGAATCGTGGCAAGCACGAACGCGCGCGTGGACAGGAGCGCAAAGCTCCCGAAAGAATTTCAAAATTGACTGCAAAACTTGAAAATGCCGACGACAACTCCCAGCGTTCTCAGAATTCAAAATTACCCTTGCAGTCTCGGAAGTGGAGGAAAAGGAGGAAGACAGAGTGCAACAGCACGATCTTTTTTGGTCTCCGCGCAGGACATCCGCAGCTGTTGCGAAATGTTCTAAGGACATGGACAAAAATTGCAGCTGGTACAGCTGAGTTCTCTAAATTTCTAGGCCATCCACCCTCTGGCACGCTTATTCAGCTGCGTCACTTCGTCCATATGCTGGGCGGCTTGGTCGCACCAGTGAAGCAGCTTGCCACCCTCTTTCTCGCAGACATCTTCCGCCAGGTCGGTCTTGCCTTGCTTCTCGGCAGCCGCGGTGACGAGCCGAAACTGGGTAAAGAAACTGGAAAATGTATCCAACTGCTTCTGGAACTCTTTGTGCTTCTCTGGCAAAGAAGCTTGCAACTGGGCTGACAACTTCTGAGCATCATTGTAGAGACGCTCCAATCGCTTGATGCCCTGGTTGGCTGTCTTCAAAGCAGTGGCGAATTCCTGTTTTATTGGGTTCTCGATCTTGATCTCCACCTGGTCTTTGGAAGCTTTGGACATTTGGGAGCTGTCCATGTCAGCATGGATGTGGAAAGTGCGAGCGTCTTTGTTGGTAGCAGCCGTTGTAGTCGATTCTTGCTCCTTGTAGAAGTAGCGAACCAGCTCGGGAATCGCATGGTCTTTCGTCGCCCTTTGGAAGTTGTAGGTGGCAGCGCTCTCTTCCAGCAAGGCTTCCAACAATTCCTGCTGCTTCTCCGGGGCATAGTCTGTCCAGCGCAAGCCATTCATCTCCAAGATTTTTGGCCTGAGCCCACATCCGCGAAAAAAAATGAGAATATAAATATACCATGTGTGTTTTCATGTTGCTTGCATTAAGGAACTTGGGATTCCAAAAAAAGGAGCCTGCGGAAAAAGCAAATCCAGCAGAAACAAGGCACCCAGTGAGGAAACTTTCTGTGGCACTGTGGGTGGTGGTGGCGGTTTCTTCACGAGTCTCAGCAAACTGTCCAAACCATGTCAAATTCTGCAGGCCGTGGGCTTTCAAATTCTGCAGAAAGTGTTGCTTCTTGCTCTCATCCAAGTTGCGGTAAGTCTAGCCGGCTGCGCGCATTTCGCGGAAGAGGTCGACAGAGGGCATGAAGGGGAAAGCTATGCTGTGAAACACGCTACGTAAACAAATTCAAATGTAGTTGGGCTCCCAATCATACCGTCAAACCCTGCCAAACCCTGCCAAACCCTGCCTGCAAGACTTTCTGAGCCTCTGCCAAATTCTCACCCTTCTTGTTCTTGTCAGGATCTGCACGGTATTTGAGGACGTTGAGTAGCCGTTGGTTTTCTGCCTTGGTGATTGGCTGGGCATCTGGCACGGCCACAACTCCAGTGGCGTCAGGAACAGCCTTTGCCTTCGACTTTGGTGATGCCTTTGCTTTCTGCAATTTCCGCGCCTTTTGGGCCGCAGCCTTCACCGTGGCAGTACTCTTGGCCGCCGCCTTCGGAGCCATCGCGCGAAAGCAGCTGAGCAGCAACGACAAACCACGCACCAACTGTCTCTGTCTCTCATATCTTGCAGGTAAGAAAAAGCAAATCAAAACGCTTGTGCTGTCACTGTTTCAAAACATGACTCACATGTCGCAATTGCAAAAAGACACTTGCAATCACATACCACACTTGATGTCCACGAAGAACAAGAAATGGCAAGACGCTCTTTCAGGTCAAGGGCATAGCCTGGGGGAAGTCATCAGCTCTACTGTCCACCATCATGTCTCCAAAAATTTCTATGTTAAAAGTATGTGAGCCCCAGGACAAAAGGTGAAGGTTGAAAATTTCAACCTGCAAGGTTGAAATTTTCAACCTGGTTTGCTTTACTTTTAAAGGGAAAGAGGTTGAAAATTTCAACCTGCAAGGTTGAAATTTTCAACCTCCCCGCTTGCAGCAGCAGTCCAACTCAATCTTTCCAGGCATGGCGCAGACAGCATCAAAATTGCGATCAGACGATCGCAGCTCTGGACAAAATCTCTAATTAGTCTACAGCAACCTGGGAATCCGATGGTTGGCTTGGCAGCTCCAAAGGGCCGATGCGGCAGGACTTGGCATTGCGCGCGCGTTGGTAGGACAAATAGTAATCCTTCAAAAGATGACATTCGCACGTGCATGTATCCTGGTGTCCGTACAGCAGGTTGCAAGAACAGGTGAAACAGTCAACGTAAGAATCTATTCCCCTCCCCTCACGAGACATCACAGCTGTCCCGCAATAGACGAAGCCTGTCTTGCTTGAGTGCACAAAGGGAACAGAGTTGACCCAAAGGACCTTCACTTCTCCAAAGTCTTGGGTATTGTCTCTGGGCGAATTATATACCGTATATGATCTCCAGGCACCCTCTCCTCAGGCAGCGAGAGGTCACCCTGGCTTCGCCAAGCTTGCCGAATGTTGAGATTGATCTCCAGCAAACGGCAAGCAAGGCGCACGTGCATCTCTGTCACTTGCAGGTCCACGACAGGGCTGTTGCTGGAGCACATATCAAGCACTGCCACAAGAGCCGCGAAGACACCCTGCTGCCAAGCGGCGTTTGCGTGGAGTGCAGACAAAGCAGTGTCGTCCTCATGCCCAGAAGCCCTCACGCTTTGAGCAACTTGATTGCCTGAGAATACGGCCGCGCACTTGGCTGACACATTGCACTTGCAAAGACTGAAAACAAGAAAGTTATCTTGACATGACTAGGTTTGGCTCGCCTAGGAGAAGTCTCTGCGCACCAGCAGTCATGGGCAGGATCAGCTGCGGCTTGCGCCCAAAGAAATCGATCGCCCGCTGCAAGCCTTGCTGGAAAGCAGGTATATGATTTGGCTGGCACCAGCGGGCCGAAATCCTCCATTCAGTGGTGACGCCGTGCTCGGAGCACGGGAAACGAACCCGACTCAGGACACCGTCTGGCAGCTTCAGCGGGTATCCCTCAGGAGCACCAATGTATCCATTGCAAGGCGCTTGGTCTTCTGGAAGCGAGAAGGCAGCTGGCCGGTTGAGATGCGCTTCCCAATCAAAGATTACTGCCTGCTGTGGCGTGAGCGGTAGCCACGTCCATGCTGAGTCGCCGGAGATGTAATCAGCAGGCAGCCTTGTGGCAGGAGACAGGCAAACAGCGCAAGTCAAAGCAAGGTGAAACGTAGTGCATGTGTGCTGTCCAAGGCAGTAGCGTTGCAGCCAAGACACTCTGCGTGGCGCGGCGTGGAACGATCGCAGCAAAAGATGAACCGCTCTTTGCAAGCAGCAACATGGTTCCCTTGCAGCTGGCGCTCCATGCTGATTGCCTTACTGGGGTGGAGGTTGCCACAGACGCTGAGGTTGACTGGAGGTGGCCTGCTGGTGGTCGAAGAGGTGCCAGTGCGTGTGCCTCGCTTGTGAGAGCCAGCCTGTATCAAGCGATTCAAGCTTGATGCGTTCAGACTGGCGGTCTTGCCTCCCTCGCCTTTCTGGCTTGTTCCCATCATGCCAAGGCCCTCCAGGAACTCGTAGGCTTCATCCAAGCAGAAGCCGGAGCTGAGCCAGATGCGATGAGGAAGTCCGTTGCGCTCGTCTCCTGCAAGATGCAGAATGAATGCATTGAACCAGGTGAATGTGGAGCACACGATACTTTGAATGTGACAGACGATTCCTGATACGTTTCATTGGCGTTTACACAAGCGTACAAACTATGTGTAGGAAACCTGCGATGCCTGTGTTCCAATCCACTTGCTGCCACTCGCTGGAGCATCGGTGGAAAAACTCCGTGAAGGTGAAGGACTGAAGCGAAAGCGTTTTCACAACAGGGGAGGCGCCCGGATAGTCCGCGACCATTTCCTTGGCTTTCTGGACAAGGTAGTCGTCACAGGAGTCAAATGCCTGGCCACAAAGAAACAAAGAGACAGACGGACGGACGGACAGGCACATAGTCCGATCGACCGACAGGCAGGCAGGCAGCAGACAGACAAAGAGACCGACTGACAAACAGACAGACAGACAGCCAGGCAGGGAGGCAGGCAGACAGGCAGAGAGGCGGCCAGTAGACGGAGAGAGGGAGAGAGATAAGATGTCATGAACGCCGCTTGGAACACAGAGTGTGGGCACGGGGAATGTAGCCAGAAACATGTACATGGCCCAGAGACAGATACAGCGGTTCATCTTATTGAAAAACTTTTTGTGTTTGCTGGTGTGACAAATGACTGCATCCCAACCTCCTCGACCAAGGCGGTCAACCGGCTCTTCCCTTTCTGGGCCGCAGCGACTTGCAGGACGATAGCCATCAAAGGTGTGGGTCGGCCTGGCCATAACTGGATCGTGGCCCCATTGCAAAGCGCGGGCAAAGCGCCAAGGATCATCATTGTGGTTGTGTAGAAGCCTTGCCCGCTGGCGATGGTGAGCGGCTCTAAAAATTTGAATATGTTCGCTGGCAAGTGCTCACTTGGGACCCACCCAGCATCCACAGCTGCTTGGGCTTGCTCCATCAAAGCCGCGACGCGGCTCTCGGTGAGCTCATCCGCAGCTATCCTGGGCATGATCTCGCCGAAGGACGGACACGAAGCAACGGGCCCGAGGTTGCGAGGAAACGAAATGGTGTGGTGTGGTGGAAAAAAAGAAACCATGTGTGCACTGAAAATGATCAGCAACATGCATTGTGAACAATTCTCGGCATGTTGCTTCATTCTTATGGTTGCCTTTCTTGACTTGCAAAGACTGGCACGCTGCAGGCAGATGGCTACACAAGAAAAACATGGCGGACCTGCAGCTCGCAGCAGAACAATCGACGGCGAGAGCTGCTGACAAGGGAATTAATTCTCAGGGCCACACGCGGTCACAGTCGTACTTGGAAAGCCTTAAGCATTGACAGCACCGAGGGATTTCGCCGCCACGGGCAGAAAGACAGGTTGTAGCCGTCAGTGGGCTCGCAAGACATCCCTGCCCTGCAGATGCATGTGCCAACCAACACAGGTGATGCCCTGAGGTTCGCACCGTGAGCTGTGCAAGGCTATGGCCCATGAGGGCAAAAGCACATGATGTCAGGTGGGTTCAAGGCATGTGCGCCTCACACGAGATCTCATGACACAAACTGGACAAGAAATGTTTGCCGATAAAGACTCACACAGACATGTTTGCGGGGATGTTCCTGCTGCGCATCTTGGGTCCCGACGTAGCAAGACATTCCTGCCCTGCATCGCAGAAGAAAAGACCATCGTCGCTTGCTGCAGCAAGCGATTGCGCACCTCGAATGCAGGGGTGGGAAAAGCAGATGCGAAGGCGCAGTGGCTGTATGCAAGGGGGAGCGCAGCGGCTGACCTACAACAATCTTCGTTTGCGGGGATGTTGCTGCTGCGCATCTTGGGTCCCGACGTAGCAAGACATTCCTGCCCTGCATCATGACAGAAGAAAAGACAATCGTCGCTTGCTGCAGCAAGCGGTTGCGCACCTCGAACGCAGGGCTGGGAAAAGCAGATGCGAAGTCGCAATGACTGTATGCGAGGGGAAGCGTATAGTGGCTGACCTGGATACAACAATCTATGTTTGCGGGGATGGTCCTGCTGCGCATCTTGGGTCCCGTAGCAAGACATTCCTGCCCTGCATCACACGCAGAAGAAAAGACAATCTTTGCTCACCTCGAATGCAGGGGTGCGAAAAACAGATGCGGCTACTCAAGGCGCCAACAACTGATTGATTAAATTATGTAAGGCCAGCACTTTAGCGTGAAACAGAGGAGCTGCGCTGCCGCACTGCAGACCATCGCCTGCATGAGAGCCATGCTAGGAAGGAAAGGAGCCGGAAGAAATAATGACGGCTTCATACTGTTGTGCAAAGCAAGAAGAAGTTTATTATATGAATGCGTGCCACGGAAAAGTTCAAAATCGAGTCTCCTTTTTCCCGCAGGGGCTTCACAGAAGATAGGGCACGTCATGTCGATGCAGGAAGTGACTCTTCGGGTCGTTTGCGTTTGCGCTGTGCTCGGCGCTCTGCCTGTTGGCGACGGTCCTGGCAGATTTATGCTGCTTGGGTGGCAGGGGGAAAAAGGAGAATTTCTTGTCACGATCTTGTTGTAGTGCAGCTATAGCTGCTATGGCATCACATGTACACAATTGCAATGGTACGCAATGTTTGTTCACACGAAGCCATGCAAAAGAAAACGCAATTAAATGTTTCAAGCGTCCAACCTTGACGCTCGAGAGCACTTTCATATTGTGCACATCGACGAGCTCTGTGAGGACAAACTTGGCCATGAAGCAACCCATGTGATGGATAGTATGCTTCAAAGGTGAGAATGAGGCATTGACGACCTCAGCGATGGACGTTGGAAAGCCAGCCAGTTTTTCCTTGTTGGCTGGCAAATCAGGCATCAGGTGTGCCTTGCACCACTGACCTACGTGACCGGCAGAATGGAAAGCATCGACGATGAAGCTAAGCTTTGATGCCTTCTCCGCAAGGACTGATCCACTCTTTTGGGATTGAGCCATGAAATGCAAGTGGCAACTGTCATCATGCACAACTGTCTGTAGATCTGGAAACTGCTTCAGCACGTGCAGAAGGAAAGCGTAGCGCTGGCTCAAGCTCTCCGCGCCGATCAATTCCTCCAAGTGCACGACAAGGCCGCTGTGCGAAATTGCGAAGAGGAAGCCCGCAGTTCTTGCAGCGGCTACCACGTCCTTGTCACTTTCTTTGTGTGTGGCGCACGATGAGGCTTGCTTGGGGGAGACAGAGCTCCAAGAAGAAAGGAAAGTTTTGGGCCTCATAGGTTTAGCAGATATTTTTCTTTGGTTTCTGTGCGTTTGCGCACGATAGCGGCGCAGTCTGATGCGCTCATCTGCTTTCTTTGCGAAGTATTGCTGCAGGTTTGCTTCAGGTATGGTGCACGATGGCTGCCACCCGCGGAAGTCCTGCAACTTAATTTCCAAGAACTGGACATCGTCTGGGGCATGAAGGGCTCGCACAAGACGATGGGCCTCAATCTCTGCATACATGGGTTGGACCTGAGCATCTCGCGCCGCAGCATGTGCCTGACAGAGCGTGTCTTTGCCTGAAGGCCTGGCAGAGCAGCCCCGTATGAGGAATTTCCCGACTGCGTCACAAGGTACGACCTGGACTGGGACAAATTGGCAAAGAAATATAAGAAATTACAAGGGCCAACAAGACAGGTTTAAAAAGTAGAGCAAAATTTCCGTTGAAAGAGAGTGTGGCCTCAGCGAAAGGCTGCCCACAGGTTCGCCGATGCAACTTGGCGTTGCCATCCACAGCCACAGTGCACCGACGATCGCCGGACAGTAGCCACTGAGTGTCACGCCGGTGAAGCATCAAAGGGGCATACCAAATCCAAGACTTGCTGATGAGGGTTTCCACGGACAAGGACTTCAGATCCTTGGCAAGCTGCCGGTGCTTACCTGCATCCAGCTCCTGGCCTCTGCGCCAGAGAAGCTCTCTCACCCATGCATCGGAGAGCGTAGCCCTGCACCCATGAGGATAACAATGTCTGCAATTTGATCTATGCCATGCAAGAATGGAAGTAGAAACTGCTGCGAAAAGAAAAAAAAACTTGTCAATAAGAAGCTGAAGCACCCACGTAGTCCGGAGAGCACACCGTCAGCAAGTGTTGGAAGCAACGCTTCCGACTGGAAAGACGCGCGCTGCAAGTACATGCGGTACCTCCACCGTCTCAGCCATGTAGTGGTGATTCCGAAGAAGCGATGGCACATCCACACATCTGGATGCTGGAAGGCGATGTCCACCTGCTGCTTAGTTTTCACCCGTGCCTTTGTGCGCTTTGTGTCTGCTTCTTTCGTCTGCATGTAACCACACCAAAATCGAGGCCACTTGCAGGTAGAACAGAACTTAGGAGCATGATATACTTGAATGGAGCCGCTGTCAGAAAGAATGCTGCAATTGTTGACTTGCAGGGATGACCGCCTCTGGGTGCGCAATGTCAACCCTGCGTGACAATGAGGACAAGATGTGCGCAGGGAAGTGAGGATCTTTGGGTGCGGGCGCGCCCCACGGATATGCAGTTGCGCCTGAAATTCTTGCAGCCAGCGTGGATCAGGCACGGGCGCTTGCAAAGTTGCAGCTGCTGTAGCTTCTCGGATGCCGTCGTAGGCCCATAGCATATGCGCAGCCGGACAGCTTATTTGGGGCGAGCAGCAAGTATGTGAAAAAAGTGGCCAGCAAGTTTTGCAATGACATGTTGAACATGTGTTTGAATGATGGCTGGCATATATAGATATAGATATAAATCCGTCGCGATGGAAGAAAATCGTAGAAGCGAATTGGGTGAAGTATGGTATGAGGTTTATGTAGCATGCTGCTGAGAAGGTGTCAAGAAACAAAAGTCAATGCCTTGAGATGAGAGGCGCAAGGAAAGAAATGGTGATGTTGCAAGTTTGAAATCGCTGGGTGACGTGCTTAACATATCTTAATTTCTGCAAGAGCATGCTGTGACAGCAGCATTGACAATTCAATCAAGACATTCAATGCCACGCGAACAAGAGTATAAGAGCCATCAGAGTAGCATGCGCACACAGGCAAGATAGGTTTGCGTCTGCGCATAACTAACCCTGTGTTTATGCTGCGTGAACTGCAGGCAAGCGCGGAATCAACTTGAGGCTGCGGCGAGAAGATGAATCCAGGAGATCACCGTGCCTAAGGGAGAAACTGCCAAGACCGGCAATATGTCATATCCATGCGCGTACGGCTTGTATGCACCTTGTTTAGACCTAGACAAGCCCCTGTTATGATGACTCGACTTTGTTTTCCTGGAAAAAGCCATGGCAAGCATGCATTAGACTGTGGTCCCAAGAAATGTTGCAATCGAAAGCAATTTAATCCCCCTCTTCTCCAACTTCACCTACAGTAAATTTCATACATTAAGAAAAGCAAAGGCTGTCTGAACTTCAGATAAGGCTTGGGTGGTGAAACGTGAAATTTCAACATTGCACTCAGGACGTAGCCATTTGCCGCTTATTGTAAGCACTGAGACGCCTGAAGCGAGACAGAGTCAGAAGCCACATCAACATTGCGAAGATCAAGGTCTGCGAACAGACCTGCGCGCAAGACATTCCTGCCTCTGTACGCGCTAGAAAGCAGATGTAGGGATTAGCTGCCCTTGATCGCAGAGGTAGAAGGAAGCCTGAAGCAGGGCGGGAACAGAAGCCATAGAAACATTAGAAGCGATATGGTAGCAAGACATCAACAGAGCTGCGCGCCAGACATTTCTGCCCTGCTTTGCGCGCACGGCAAAAGTGGCACGGAAAGCTGATGGATAAGGGCCAGACGAGTTAATTGCCCCTGATCGCAGAGGCAGAGCGAAGCCTGAAGCAGCGCGGAAAAAAAGGCAGAGAAACATTGCGAAGAGCGAGGTTTGCGGAGACACGTTAACAACACATGAGCAGAGCTGCGCGCCAGACATTCCTGCCCTGCGTATGCGTGCGACAAAAGCAGCACTGCGAGCTGATATATAAGGGCAGCACCAGTTGCCCGCAATTGCAAACAACATCTATAACAGCGCTGCACGCAAGACATTCCTGCCCTGCTTTATGCGCGCGACAAAAGCGGTACGGAAACGGCCTGTGATTGCAGACTGAGGCCTGAAGCAGCGCAGAACGAAAGGCAGAGAAACATGGCGAAGATCGAGGCGATCGAAAGCAATTGACTCCCTCTCTTCTGCAACTTCATCTACAGTAAATTTAATACATTAAGAAAAGCAAAGGCTGTCTGAACTTCAGATAAGGCTTGGGTGGTGAAACGTGAAATTTCAACATTGCACTCAGGACGTAGCCACTTGCCGCTTATTGTAAGCACTGAGAGGCCTGAAGCGAGACAGAGTCAGAAGCCACATCAACATTGCGAAGATCAAGGTCTGCGAACAGACCTGCGCGTAAGACATTCCTGCCTCTGCACGCGCTAGAAAGCAGATGTAGGGATTAGCTGCCCTTGATCGCAGAGGTAGAAGGAAGCCTGAAGCAGGGCGGGAACAGAAGCCATAGAAACATTAGAAGCGATATGGTAGCAAGACATCAACAGAGCTGCGCGCCAGACATTTCTGCCCTGCTTTGCGCGCACGGCAAAAGTGGCACGGAAAGCTGATGGATAAGGGCCAGACGAGTTAATTGCCCCTGATCGCAGAGGCAGAGCGAAGCCTGAAGCAGCGCGGAAAAAAAGGCAGAGAAACATTGCGAAGAGCGAGGTTTGCGGAGACACGTTAACAACACATGAGCAGAGCTGCGCGCCAGACATTCCTGCCCTGCGTATGCGTGCGACAAAAGCGGCACTGCGAGCTGATATATAAGGGCTGCACCAGTTGCCCGCAATCGCAAACAACATCTATAACAGCGCTGCACGCAAGACATTCCTGCCCTGCTTTATGCGCGCGACAAAAGCGGTACGGAAACGGCCTGTGATTGCAGACTGAGGCCTGAAGCAGCGCAGAACGAAAGGCAGAGAAACATGGCGAAGATCGAGGCGATCGAAAGCAATTGACTCCCTCTCTTCTGCAACTTCATCTACAGTAAATTTAATACATTAAGAAAAGCAAAGGCAAAAGTGGCACGGAAAGCTGATAGATAAGGGCCGGACGAGGTAATTGCCCCTGATCGCAGAAGCAGAGTGAGGCCTGAAGCAGCGCGGAAAAAAAGGCAGAGAAACATTGCGAGGAGCGAGGTTTGCGGAGACACGTTAACAACACATAAGCAGAGCTGCGCGCCAGACATTCCTGCCCTGCGTCATGCGTGCGACAAAAGCGGCACTGCGAGCTGATATATAAGGGCTGCACCAGTTGCCCGCAATCGCAAACAACATCTATAACAGAGCTGCGCGCAAGACATTCCTGCCCTGCCGTTTGCGCGCAACAAAAGCGGCACCGAAAACAGGTGTACTGGCGGACCATTGGTCTTTGATTGCAGACTGAGGCCTGAAGCAGCGTGGAACGAAAGGCAGAGAAGCATTGCGAAGACCAAGGTGTGCAGAGACATGCTAACAACACATGAAAAGAGATGCGCGCAAGACATGCCTGCCTTGCGGTATGTAAGAGACAATGTTTGCACGGACGAGTGCAAGTGCATGGGCTGGATGTGCGGCCGTGTATCTCACGATAATCTTTTGAGACAGAAAGCAGATGTAAGGAATGGACCACTTAATCAATTCTTCCTATTACTAAACGTCCCGCAAATATTAAAAACAGGGGTCCATGTCCAATTTCGGAAAATTTCAGATTGGCCAATTTGATTTTGAATTGATCCCCTTTCAATTTAAAAAATAAGCTACCATTTGTGGGTTTTGTCCCCTAATACTAAAGACTAGTTCACCCCGAGGTGTTTAATATTAGGACCCACTTGGAAAGCCAAGTTTTGGCAATACTTTAATTGCGTTACCTAAGGAAATGTACTGGATTTTGAAACCGGAAAAAATAGTTTTTATTATTAAGGGTTCAATTTTATTACGAGAGCCCGCTTCGAAATTTATTGTTTGGCAACATTTTTAATGCGTTATATAATGAAATTTGATTGATTTTGAGATCGGAAAAATAGTTTTGATTAGTAAGGACTTAATTTTATTAATAGGGTCCGCTTGGAAGTCGAACTTTTGAAATATTTTAATTGCGCTATACAAGGAAAATTAATTGATTTCGAGATCAGAAAAATAGTTTTTATTATTAAGGGTGTAATTTCATTAATAAGGTTCCCTAATAGTAAATACCCCCCTGAGGCTAAAAAATACCTGATGTGTTTAAGAAAGTTTATTATTTGGGGAGTGGAGTTAATATTAGGAGGAAGGGATTACCTCGTCTCGGAAAGTCACTGTGAAGTCTGAAGCAACCCGGAAACAGAAGCCAGAGAAACATTGAGAAGATCGAGTAGCAGCACATGACAAACTTGGGCGTGGGACATGCGTGCCCCAGTGCCTTGCTGTACGTGCCAGATAGCAGAGAAAAGGGCGGGACCAGAAGCCAGACAAGATTGCAAAGACCGAGGCCTGCAGAGATATGCAAACAACACATGAACAGAGCTGCGTGCAAGACATTCCTGCCCTGCGATAGGCACGCAACAAAATTTGCACTAAAGGAAGATATAATATTGAGGTGGGGCCAATTACCCTTGATTGCAAGGTGAAAGGGAAATTTAATTGATTTTGAGATCGGAAAAATAGTTTTGATTATTAAGGATTTAATTTTATTAATAGGGTCCGCTAGGAAATCGAACTTTTGAAATATTTTAATTGCGCTATACAAGGAAAATTAATTGATTTCGAGATCGGAAAAAATAGTTTTTATTATTAAGGGTGTAATTTCATTAATAGGGTTCCCTAATAGTAAATACCCCCCTAAGGCTAAAAACTACCTGATGTGTTTAATAAAGTTTATTATTTGAGGAGTGGAGTTAATATTAGGAGGAAGGGATTACCTCGTCTCGGAAAGTCACTGTGAAGTCTGAAGCAACCCGGAAACAGAAGCCAGAGAAACATTGAGAAGATAGAGTAGCAGCACATGACAAACTTGGGCGTGGGACATGCGTGCCCCAGTGCCTTGCTGTACGTGCCAGATAGCAGAGAAAAGGGCGGGACCAGAAGCCAGACAAGATTGCAAAGACCGAGGCCTGCAGAGATATGCAAACAACACATGAACAGAGCTGCGTGCAAGACATTCCTGCCCTGCGATAGGCACGCAACAAAATTTGCACTAAAGGAAGATATAATATAGAGGTGGGGCCAGTTACCCTTGATTGCAAGGTGAAATGAGGCCTGAAGCAACGTTGTTCGCTAGTTAAAAAAGGATCCTGAATTAGGAATCAACGTTTATGAATGAAGAATCTCGTCCTAGATCCAGGTTTTCCCTGGCTGGTCATGTCCGTGAAAAAAACTATCTTTAATGAAAGAAGATTCTTTGAATCAAAAGTAACGGTATGGGTTTTACGACGTATAGGGTTCTTTGTAAATTATCTTCTGCATGTGGTCGTGGACATAGGGGATTTTGCACAGTCTCAGCAGCTCAAACTGGGAACATGGAGGACACCTGTTTGAGGTTTCAATAGCCTCATCGCAAGACAGTAAGCGATGAACCTATGAAGCAATAAGCAATGAAGCAAAGAGTCAAGGAGTCAATGAGCCAAAGAAACATTGCGAATGCCAAGGTCCCGCAAATATTAAAAACAGGGGTCCATGTCCAATTTCGGAAAATTTCAGATTGGCCAATTTGATTTTGAATTGATCCCCTTTCAATTTAAAAAATAAGCTACCATTTGTGGGTTTTGTCCCCTAATACTAAAGACTAGTTCACCCCGAGGTGTTTAATATTAGGACCCACTTGGAAAGCCAAGTTTTGGCAATACTTTAATTGCGTTACCTAAGGAAATGTACTGGATTTTGAAACCGGAAAAAATAGTTTTTATTATTAAGGGTTCAATTTTATTACGAGAGCCCGCTTCGAAATTTATTGTTTGGCAACATTTTTAATGCGTTATATAATGAAATTTGATTGATTTTGAGATCGGAAAAATAGTCTTGATTAGTAAGGACTTAATTTTATTAATAGGGTCCGCTAGGAAGTCGAACTTTTGAAATATTTTAATTGCGCTATACAAGGAAAATTAATTGATTTCGAGATCAGAAAAATAGTTTTTATTATTAAGGGTGTAATTTCATTAATAAGGTTCCCTAATAGTAAATACCCCCCTAAGGCTAAAAAATACCTGATGTGTTTAAGAAAGTTTATTATTTGGGGAGTGGAGTTAATATTAGGAGGAAGGGATTACCTCGTCTCGGAAAGTCACTGTGAAGTCTGAAGCAACCCGGAAACAGAAGCCAGAGAAACATTGAGAAGATCGAGTAGCAGCACATGACAAACTTGGGCGTGGGACATGCGTGCCCCAGTGCCTTGCTGTACGTGCCAGATAGCAGAGAAAAGGGCGGGACCAGAAGCCAGACAAGATTGCAAAGACCGAGGCCTGCAGAGATATGCAAACAACACATGAACAGAGCTGCGTGCAAGACATTCCTGCCCTGCGATAGGCACGCAACAAAATTTGCACTAAAGGAAGATATAATATTGAGGTGGGGCCAATTACCCTTGATTGCAAGGTGAAAAGGAAATTTAATTGATTTTGAGATCGGAAAAATAGTTTTGATTATTAAGGATTTAATTTTATTAATAGGGTCCGCTAGGAAATCGAACTTTTGAAATATTCTAATTGCGCTATACAAGGAAAATTAATTGATTTCGAGATCGGAAAAAATAGTTTTTATTATTAAGGGTGTAATTTCATTAATAGGGTTCCCTAATAGTAAATACCCCCCTAAGGCTAAAAACTACCTGATGTGTTTAATAAAGTTTATTATTTGAGGAGTGGAGTTAATATTAGGAGGAAGGGATTACCTCGTCTCGGAAAGTCACTGTGAAGTCTGAAGCAACCCGGAAACAGAAGCCAGAGAAACATTGAGAAGATAGAGTAGCAGCACATGACAAACTTGGGCGTGGGACATGCGTGCCCCAGTGCCTTGCTGTACGTGCCAGATAGCAGAGAAAAGGGCGGGACCAGAAGCCAGACAAGATTGCAAAGACCGAGGCCTGCAGAGATATGCAAACAACACATGAACAGAGCTGCGTGCAAGACATTCCTGCCCTGCGATAGGCACGCAACAAAATTTGCACTAAAGGAAGATATAATATAGAGGTGGGGCCAGTTACCCTTGATTGCAAGGTGAAATGAGGCCTGAAGCAACGTTGTTCGCTAGTTAAAAAAGGATCCTGAATTAGGAATCAACGTTTATGAATGAAGAACCTCGTCCTAGATCCAAGTTTTCCCTGGCTGGTCATGTCCGTGAAAAAAACTATCTTTAATGAAAGAAGATTCTTTGAATCAAAAGTAACGGTATGGGTTTTACGACGTATAGGGTTCTTTGTAAATTATCTTCTGCATGTGGTCGTGGACATAGGGGATTTTGCACAGTCTCAGCAGCTCAAACTGGGAACATGGAGGACACCTGTTTGAGGTTTCAATAGCCTCATCGCAAGACAGTAAGCGATGAACCTATGAAGCAATAAGCAATGAAGCAAAGAGTCAAGGAGTCAATGAGCCAAAGAAACATTGCGAATGCCAAGGTCTGCAAAGATATGGTATAACAGCACATGAACTATAAAGTTGCCTGCTATTGAGTAAAGAAATTGCCCTTCATTACGACGTGGCGCAAAAAAAAGGTTAAGATAGCTTTATCAAAATTAGTTTAATGAAAGGAAGAGAAACGTTCCGAAGATTGATGCTTGCAGAGATATGTGAACAACACCTGATTACGACGAAAATGGGACAGAAAGCGTGGAGGAAATCAGAAGCACATTCCAATTAAGAATGCATCCGCTTCACAGAGCCCAACCTGCACTGTCGACATGTATATGAACATTTCACAAGCGCCACCTTGTGCGGAATTGTAGAGGTAAAATGCCACGCACGAGAATGAGCCGAAAATGCGGACACTCACTTTTCGCCCGAGCCGACGCAGTCGAAATGCAGGTCAACATCTCAGAAGAACCGCTGTATGTGGAAATTGACAAGAAAAATGCCGGCGCCCAGCTGGAGCACCCCGATAAAGCACCGGCTTTTACGCTAACCATAAGAACCTCAGTGTAGACACATTATTTGATGAATCAAAAAAAAGCTTTCCGGAAGGGTGTTGTTTAAAAAGGATTATACTTGGAAGAAGCAACCCAAAACATTATTGCCAGCGAGTTTTCCTTTATGGATATGGAGAAATCCGGGGTATCTTATAAATGTAAACTCAACATTTTAGGCGTCTGCGTGTCAAAGTGTCTGCGAGTAAAAACTTTTGTGGGTAAAGCTTGTGTGTAGTATAAAAGCTTCTCTGTGTAAAAGTTTCTGTATTAAAAGCCTTCAATGTGTAAAAGCCCCTCTGCGTAAAAGCTGGGCTATGGCAAAGCGTGTGGGTGTGTGCAAAGACTTCTCTATATGAAAAAGTTTGTTTTATCTGAAACGCGTCTATTTATGTACAAAAACTTCTTTGTATAAAGACTGCGGCCGGTGGGCCGGTGGGCCGGTAGCCAGTGGCCGGTGGCCGAGCCGGTGAGCCGATGGACCGGGCCGGTGGCCGGCAAAGCAACAAATGCCGTTCGCAGACCGTTCGGGCGAGGCCCGTATAGCCGTGCCTATGGCGAGTCCAAAGGGGATCACTTTCAGAGTTGTCAAGAGTTGCGTAGCTTCGTTTCGCGTGGCAGACGTAGCACTTTGTGACATTCCAACATGGTTCTTGACGTGTATTATACGTCTTTTTGTATAGCCGGCACAACACTTCCGCAGCCGGTAACGGTTCGTAAACCGTTCGCGCGAGGCGCGTATAGCAGTGCTCAGAGCGCGTTCGACAAAGGTGTCACTTCTGGAAGTTTTAAACGTTGCGTACCCTCGTTTCACGTGGCAAGCGTGGCGGTGACATCCCAAGGTGTTGCATAACGTGTCAAAAGTCGTTTTGTGCTGGATGCTAGTTGCCGGTTACCAATTGCCGGTGCCAGATGTCCGGTGCCAGTGTGGGTTGCCGATGCCGGCTGCCGGGTACCATATGGCGGATGCCGGTGTCTACCGGTAGCCGGTACTAGATGCCGAAGCTGCAGCTGCCGGGTACCGGTGCGCCGGTGGCGGTGTGGGTGCCAGTGCCGGATGCCGATGCCGGATGCCGATGCCGGATGCCGGTAGACGACGGATGCCCGATGACGGTGCCGAACTGCCCAATGCCGGATGCCGGTGCCGGACTGCCGGACTGCCGGACTGCCGGACTGCCGGATGCTGCCTGGACATGCCAATCTGGGGGTTGGGTGTACTTTTTACACCCAGAAGCAAAATAAACACCCACAGGCGTTTCTTGTGCTCAATTAACACCCACAGACGTTTCTTTGGCTCAAGCACATGGCCAAGTGGCATGTGAAGCTAAAATGTCTGGGCTTCCCCCCTTTTCAGCCAATATATATGCTAAGCCCCCCAAAACAAGGGCACAAGGGGCCACAATTCATGCTGTGTCAGCTACGTCTACATTCTTCTTCTAGTCGCTATTTCTGCTAATTGCAATGAACTCTATCCCATCTGTCTATCCTGGGTTCTCGTTTAGTTTGCTTCAAGCAGACCTACAAGCCAGCGTGCCCAATTCACATTTTCAGCCATCCCAGGCAGATGTTATAAAAACATGTGCTGTTGGTACCAAATGCCTGGCTACATCCATCTGCTTCTAAACTTACATGCTCCGAAAAAGTATGCCAGGAAATCTGGGCTTATTCGTGGCATCAAGGAAACAAATGCAAAAAACACGCAAGTGAGTGGAAACATCCTGTCACATGCGCATGCATTCCACAAACCCGATTTCACACAGTGTTAACGCCAGTACATTGTAGTGCTATCCCATGTCTCCTGGTACAAAACGCGCTTTTTCCTTTTCTCGCATCTCAGACCATTGCATGGCACGTTTGAGAACATAACGCCTTGCCCAGGCATGCATGTAAGTTTGCCCGTGACACGACTGAGCAATGCGGCGAACTTTGCCCATGAAATCTTCATCTCCAAATGTCGACAAGTGTAGCAAACACAAAGCAGTTTCTTCATAGTGGTCGACCATGTGCGTAAAGTAATGGGTTTTTGGACGAACCTTGTACAGAAGACGTTTCTGCACAATGCAGCGCGCGCCAAGCCACTGGTAACATGCTGAATGCATCCTGCATAGCCACACAGTCTGCTTCACGATGGATGCTCTCATCTTGATTTTTTTGTTCTTGTTGAAAATGCTAAGCGCACAGTCTAGCGTCCAGCAGCAAACAGCACGAACCCTTGAATTCAGCTGTTGCTCTTGTGTTTGGCAAGGGTATGCAGCAAGTCGTGTCATCAACCAGGTCACAAATGCAAATAAAGTTCTGCATCGGGCTGCTTTGATTCGTGAATCCAGCACAGGGAAGGGCCATTTTCGGTTGTCCAGTCCAAGTCTGTGGAGGTTCAGGGTTCCCACGTACAAGTCCAATCCCTGATCCTTTGCCCATTTGTGTGCGTGTTGACCCATCCGGTATAAAATGAGATCGTCATTCTGCCCTTGCAACCCATAGAATTGTGCCAAAGTGCCATCATCCAGAGCATCAATGAGACAAGAAGGTATAATGTCTCGCAAGGTTCCAAGGTGCACGATATGTAAAATGTCCAGCAACCTACACTTTTTGCTTTTGAAACCTGGAACTTGCATCCACGGTGAAGGATCCATGGGGTCCACAAAGCAAATTGTGCGCTTCCATGCAGCATCCATGGTCAAATTGCCAATGCTCATAACGGGATTGGTGTCGTTCTTTACCGCCAAGCAAAGATCGCAACACAGACTGCAGCGGTAGTTTCTTGCCGTTTTGTGCGACAAGACATGAGCTTCCATGTCGCCCTTCCAGAGGCAAAATGCCTGCCAAGACGAAAAATGAAAATTCACATATATCGTTTCATCCCTGCTCATTTATATGTTGACTCAAGTCATACAAAGTACAGCATGGAAAAAATTGACCATAAACGAAACTTGACAATGACTCAACAAGTTGCCCCTTTGATAGGCATTGTTTGCCCAGCACGGCTTTCTTGAACAGAATTCAACTTGTGAAAATTTCCAGCACTGTCAAGGAAATCCCACACGCCAGCTTGCAATTGAGCAAAGTCCCAGGCTAAGAGTTTGCAGATGGTTTCACGAGTACGGTCAGTAACCTTTGAGGTGGCCATCACTGCAATGCATTGTCTTGTCTTCCACGAATCGGCACGCACACATCCTGTCGACCAGCTCCAAATTGTTGCTGTAGATCCTGGGCCAATTTCAAATCAGCATGGCTACCTCAGGCTAAACACGATTCTGCATATTGAAAATACAATGTGTTTAAACATGGGCGGGTGCACCTGAAAAGTGCGGCACCCCATCTTCATGCACAATTATAGGAACATGAGTCGTTGCTTGCTCATCACAGCCACATGCGCGCCACAGATCGGCCCAATCCGAGTCAGTTCCCAGGCATTCTTTCAATACCTTGGCTTTTGGATTTGCATCGTGTTTGTAAACCTTTATGTTTTTAGCATCCTCCAACGTTTGCCGTAGATTTAAGTTTACCTACAAACCTTTCACACAGACCTGAGTCATTGCAACTCCAACATCTTCCAACTAAAAATGATTGGCGTGAGACTTAGGACTTAGGTAAGACCATCAGCAAAAGCCTCTGATGCGGCAAAATTCCAAATTCCATTTCTGCCCAAATCAAAAAAAAATAATGAAGCAAAGCAGCCTCCGGCCCAGCTTTGTGAAGCGAGCACAACATGTCACTGGGCAGGACGACTGAAATTGTTGTTGTGCTTTCTTGCTGAGGGAAAGCTCCACATGTAGATTCACCGGCATCAAGCAACACAGGGATCTCCACAGTAGTAATTGGGACAGGAAGTCTCACCCATCTGAAGAAATCACGCTGCGTGCATTTTGCAAGTTGCAATGCGCCCACCTGCAGAGCTGTTAAGGACCATCCTTCGCCATGCACAAGAAAATATATGACTTCTTGTGTCACCCTTTATTTATAACCAAAGCTACTCCAGCCTTACTGGATCCATCTCTCTGAAATGCTGACGCACAGTCTGCAGCAGCAGCAACTGATAGCTTTCCGGTCGCAATTTTCTCTGCCAGATTGCGCATGCCAGAAGAATCAATATCATCCACATGCCTCCATGGAGATTGAGCATGCTTGAGACATGCTTGCAATTGCCAATGAACCGTGTCAACGCAAGAAACAAAACATACATGCGCAGAGGCACATCTTCTTGCGATATTTTTGCCCCGTCTGCTCCAAAGTTGAATCTGACCTGCGTGCTGTGGAGCAAAATGAAAGAAACTTTTTTACAGCTTGCTATGCACCAAAGCCTGCAGAACTGCATATGTGATTCAATGCTCTGATGTGTTCTGCAAGCAGCCACCTATTGTTTCACCCTGGTGTGCTTCAAGATCTATGTCGTCAAACTGTCACTGACATGAAACCATGTCAACTACAGACCTTCCTGCCATGCATGCTCACTGCACACTCTATAGTTCTTTGTGAAAGCTCCCGAGAGGAGGCTGTTCAAACAACTTTGGCACTTGCAACCACATGGCCAGAAAGCGTCCACCCCTACCAAAACCAAACGCGTTACGGATAACGCTCACATGCTTCCCAAGCAACGCTTAGCTTAGGTTCTGCATGGCAACCCGCAGCAACTTAAGACAGCTGCACACAACTCAACTCATGCAGCGTTGGCCTTTGGCTTAGCTGCTCGCTTGCCGGCTGGTCTGTTTACCTGCCGAAAAATCGCGGTGGCCGCGCCGTGAGGCTTTTCAAAAGCCTTGTTCAGTGTCAAGAGCTCTTTGACGTATGGGATGTAATCATTTCCTGCAGGTTGATTGAAACACATCTGAAAGCACATGGTCAAAACATCATGCAAACATTCTATACGAGCGAGGAAAGCACTATAGCTTTCAATGTTTGTCGGCATGTTGAAAACTGAGACAAATGAAGTTCATAAAATACAAGATCCATGTTCACACATGACGTCACACATGTCAACAGAAAATGCAAGGAACCCATCATCAGCCAGTTAGTGTGAGAACCAAAAGACACACGCGTATACACTTTCATCTGGCTCAAAAGTCAAAACTGTCCTCGTTCTTCCCCTCTGCAACCAGCTGCAGCACATTGAGGTAAAGCTTCCTTGCGGAAAACACATGCCAGGGTTCCGAGATGATTACAGATGGCTCACATAACACGTTTGTCGTTGACTACCCGCTAATGAATTGAAATTCCCTGCAATGCGACTGGGCTTCTCATAGAGACCGGAAAAGTTTTGCATTTCCTTACACAACTGCTCTGCATAGGGGATGCTTTGGAGCGTGAGGGCGAGGTTGGCAGAGTCCGATTTCTTCTTGAGCAATTTTCCCGCCATGTCACGACCTTTCTGAAGTGCCGTCAGCGGTTCTTCAACCTTGGCTTTTTTCCTTCGTCCTTCACCCTTTCCCGCGGCCTTGTCTTGCCCCGGAGCCATGTCACCAGCAGGTGTCCCTGGGGCTGATGCACCTGATGCCGGCAATGATGGCGTGGACGGTGATCCAAGCCCACGTTTCTGTCCGGTCTGCTTTGTCCTGGACAAACAAACCGGCGATAGCAAAAACACACTTTTGCGTTTATCATGATCGAACAGCCTAGGCACGACCATCAAACAGAGATTTCAATCATATATGCTGAGTGTCATGAGTGCTTCCACGTCAGCTGCATTGCTTCGATTCACATCCATCCTTCCTGTGGACACGCATTGGCCTCGGCTTGCATTTTTCAATCAGCTACTTTTTCCTTTAGCGGCAGCCACCTACAGTTGAGACACATCTGTGACATGAAAATGCGATATTGTCATGGTGACATATAATGACATGCATGGCCCATGGCATACATGACCCCATATTAAATGTGATTTTGTTGGGTGACATGAAAAATACAAAGCTTTGAACAAGTGTTGCAGGCCGAAAGCCCAGCGGGGTTTGATCATGGTTTGTGGGAAAGATCCGAAAAGGTTGTTTGTTCGAATTCATGCATGATGTGATAGTATGAATGTAAGCAGCATGCATGCCCTGAAAAGAGTTGCAGGCCAAAGCCCAGCGGGGGGAACATGGAAAACGCAACACATGTGTAGCCAAGGCTCCACCTCGCGTAACATGCTCCCACTCATCCTCCCTTCGAGAGATAAGAAACAGCTCACCACCTGGGCAATTCTCATCATCCTCCACAAGCCCCTGTTCACGCTTGTGCTTCATGATCTTTTCTGCGTCAGCACCATATTTTTCCTCCACCTCCCTCTTAGTCCACCGCAGTGCTCTCTTACGGTTGTACTCACCCCGGCTTGATTCCTCGAAGGCTTGCAAGGAAGCCCCAACTTTTTCAAAAGCCCCGTCGCTGTCCACGAGCATGCTGATCAATTCTGATTTCTTGGAGTCATCGAAAACCATCTTGTGTAAAGATGGCATCTCCTGCATCCTTGAAGGATTCTCCTTCAACCTTTTGATTAAGTTGGCTGCTGCCCTCCTTGTGTACTCCTTCTGTTCACACTGCGGTGGAGCAGCATGCAACCCAGCAGCATTGCTCATCTGCTTTTGCAGTTGCAACTGCCTCAGGGCATCTGCTGTCAAAGGCACTGTGGACTGGGGAGCATGGGCCGGCTGGGTCATGAAACCAGGTGCACTGGGTGCTGCTTTCTCTGCAACGACGGGTGCAGCAGGTTCTGCTTTCACGACGGCTGCTGCTTTCACCACCTGTTCAAGCGGTGCAGCGGGTGCTGCTTTCACAACCTCTCGGGCAGGTGGAGCAACCGGTGCTGCTTTCTCTGCAACGGGTGCAGCTGGTGCTTTCACAGCGGGAGCTGCTTTCACAACCTCTGCTGGTGCTGCTGCTTTTGGCTGTGCCGGAGGAGCAGCAGGTGATGCTTTCTCTGCAACGGGTGCAGCGGGTGCTTTCACAGCGGGAGCTGCTTTCACAACCCCTGGTGCCGGTGCAGCAGGTGCTGCTTTTTCTGCAGCGGGTGCATGGGGTGGTGCTTTCACAGCGGGAGCTGCTTTGACAACCTCTGCTGGTGCTGCTGCTTTTGGCTGTGCTGGAGGAGCAGCAGGTGATGCTTTCTCTGCAACGGGTGCAGCGGGTGCTTTCACAGCGGGAGCTGCTTTCCCAACCTCTGGAGCCGGTGCAGCAGGTGCTGCTTTCACAACTGACATTGCTGCAGCCGGTGCTTCTTCTTCAAGAGCTGCTGGGTTCACAGCTGGTGGTGCAGTTTCTTTTATGCCAGTGGGTCCGGCTACGGTCCAGCCCATCGCAGCTAGCATCTTGGCCATCTCATTAGCTGAGGTTACGGGGGTTGCAATGGGACGTGGTGTCCAAGTAGCTGCTTTCATGTCTTTCAGCGTTGCCTGCACAAACTCGTCTGGCTTCTTGGGAACTGCTGACTTGTCACCAGCCACTACACCTGAAGAAGATGTTGGCGCAGCAACATCTGGAACTCCTTCACCCAGCGGGGTATGTGGTGGAGTCATCCCCTCGGCCATGCGATCATGTTGTTCCCATATCTTGTTCATCTCCATCATGTCCATCGACTCAGTTGGCACCTCCGGGATGCAATTGCCATTTGAAGGAATCATGCAACTGAACTCTTTTCCGAAACTGACACACAAGCAAAAAATCAAAAGCATCACCTGTGAATCTTCTGCAACTGTGGCTTGTGTAGCCAGCGTATCTCCGACTTCCATCGACGGCAGCTTCTGCGACAGGTTCAAATTTTGCCTTGGGCTGACACCACAAAAGAAAATTCCAGGACGATCAGCACTGTTGTTACCTCCGATTTGATGCATGCATAAACCATGGCCCAAACCCATCCACCACTGCCGTTGTCTCCGGCGCAGGGCACGCACGTTCAAGGATTTCACCTGCAAACTCATGAGCTGATTGATAGATTGCAAAAAAACGCACGCGCATATGTAGAGCCCATATGACCACACTGCTACATGTCTACCATTCACGATATGACCACACTGCTACATGTCTACCATTCACGCTTGACATCCATGCATGCAAAACCATGGGCCTGGCTGAGTTTCCAGGAAGGCAACATGTGCTTCATGGGCTATACCCACTAGGTATGGATCCTCTGGCGGCGCCAAAAGGCTGGCCATTTGCTCCTCTTTACAAGGCCCACTCATGGTCTCCAACACTAAACGCTTTGATCCAATCACCGGCCACTGCGGTGAGCACAAAAAATCCCAGGCAAACAGGAATAACAAAATGTTTATTGCCCCAGACTGAAGCACATCATCTGTTGTCTAAACACTGCCACGTAGATGACCACCCCCACCCGAAAAGTACGGAAACAAATCACACATGGATGGGCTCATGGCCGGTCACGGTTTGGTCACGGTTGGTCACGGTTGGTCACGGGCCGCGTCCCTTTAATTATATATTGGGCGTTTATTTTTGGTCACGCTCGGTCACGCCCGGTCACGGTCCAGCATGGTCACATATCCGACGAGAAAATCTCACAGCATGCCAAACTTTTTTCAGACATGACATATAGCTCATTTGTCCTTTAATGAAAAGCTGGGGGTCAATCAACCGAGATAGGATGTCCCGGCTGCAAAGTATATGCAGTTCTCAATTCATTCAACAAATCCGGCACATGGCCATCAGCAAAATCGCAATGGTGTTCGTGTGCCTTTTGGCTGTAGTTCACGATTGCTGCCTGGTCAAGAAGCAAACGAACAAATGACCCATATATGAAGGACACAATCTTGTGCTCACCATCAGTATTGAAGGAGACCTTAAGGACCCGCCTTTATCTCATCCACTGTCATGTGTGCGCTCTGCAGCATGCACCACTTTCTCCTTTCTCTCCTGCATGCTCACACGCATGGAAGACAAACATGAATATTCACATGCACAGGGAAATGTCGGAATATCACGACGGCAATGGGGCTGTCCCGGAAGTGGAAGCATGGGTCGCCCACCACGTAGCGATACCCCGGCCAAATTCTGGGGTGTACGCCTGTGTGCCCTTTAAACCAGCACCACCGCAAACACGTTGCTGCCCCAATGCGTCATAGTACCTTATAAGCAGCACAACACCATTCGCATCAACACAAACGGTTTTCAAATACCCTGCGCAAGCAGCAGCGCAGGATTTGGAGTATCACTACATATTTTTGTCATCTGCATGCATGTATCATGTGTATCAAAGCTACACATAGGAAACAGGAGCTTGAGCTGGAGGGCGGTCACTTTTTGGAGGAACTGGCATATTCATGAGCAGATCCAACGACTCAGTGGACCAAAGGGCGGTAGGTTTCAAACTGGAACCCCTGAATGCAGCCATGCAGATAGCATTCCGCAACACCAACGCATGCGGCCACCCTTCATTTGATCTGTCTTGGAAATATTTGATCACAGATTGCCAGCTAGGGAGGAAGAGCATACATGAAGTTGAAGGCTGCTCCAAAACCCACACTGATCCAAGCGCCCAGCCCACAAGGGCTAGTAAAGATGACCGTGAAGCCAGTACTGTGCCCAAGTGGACGTAGTCAAGCCCCGCCCCTTCTGGACACCACATACTTCTGCCATGCGTACCACTGTTGATGAAAACAAAGGAGGTACAAACAGTAGCAAGATGGACCAATCCACCAATGACGATGGACAGCAATGCGATCACGGCTGCCACCATCCCAGAAGTTGTTGTGAGGTCATGTGTCAGACTTCCTTGGTGTGACATTACCAGAAGATCTGGGCAAGCTTTTAATGTTGCATCATCCCACTGAACCATTCTGTTTTTCTTTCCAACATGTTCGCAGCCATGGTTCGGGAGATGCAAAGGATCACAAATGGAATTTGCAATCTTCATCAAGCTAGAAAAATGTTACAACTTCAGAATGCAGGCGTCTGGAAATGTCAAAGGCAAGTGCTCTCCGCCCCATTTCAGTAAATGCTTTGGCCACTTGGCTTGATGCAATGCAGCCACTGAAAAATTCAACACACGTTAAACCTTCAGTCGGGGTATCATGATGCATCAATCTCCTGATCAGCATGGCGTGAATCACCAGCTCCACCGCGACCCACGGCACTGAAAGCGCAACCATCCCATACACATCTTTCAGTTCCTGTGTGGACAAAGAATTCAGCATCCTCAGAAGGACAACTACAGGAATCATGCTCACCATGTTCTCAAACCCATCAAACGTAGAAATTGCAGGCGTATGGATGTGGAGCCAAAACTGCAAGCAATGCAGATGTGAAATTTTCACTCAACACTTGCGCAAAGTTGCATTTACTGCCAGTGGGCACTTGAGTAGTCCCTTGCAGCTTGCAAAGGCGGGAAAGCGCCTCTTCCGAGAACATGGCACGCTTGAAAATTCGGCTGGCTCTCCTGCAAGTCAGTCCAGAAACATGAATTGGCTTGAATCAGCACAAAAAGGTTTTCTGCTACAATCATTCTTCTGCCATCAGATTTTCAACGATCCAAGTCGGTCCTATAGATGCAGATTTCAAAGTCGCAGGAACAGAAGACACCGAGCGTCCTGCAAGTATCCACACAGCACACTGAGTGTCAGTGCCGACATGCCAAATCATTATGACTGACCACTTCCTAACGTCGCTATCTGCAGAACAGATTTGGCACCTTTTCACTGACCCCTGCCGTCTGCATTGCACATTGTCACAAAATCAAGCTGCGGACTTCATAGCATTCAGCTCAGAAATCACATCTTTGATTGTGGTCTTGCCACTGTTCAAACTGGAAACATGGTCTGCAACGATGCTTTCAGCATCATCCCGGGCAGTGTCAGTCAACTGCGCTCTCTGGCGTTGCTCTGTGTTGCTGTAAATGGCAAAGGCATGTATGTAACCATCTCTGGTCTTACGCTTGTGCCTTCTCATGGAGTATGCGTCCTGTACATTGACATCAGGCGCAGCCTCAGCCTCTGCTGCTGCTTCCCCACTGGATCGCCGTTTGGCGACAGAGCTCCTAGAACTACTGGCCTTCGAAGTAGCTGCCTTTGCCTTTGCTTTTGCCTTTTGTTTTGGTTGCAACTCCCTCCTCAGAGCCAGTTGACCTGAGGAATGGGGCATCTTGCAGAAACTTTTTCTCGAATCTAAGCCATGTTACATGGTTTCAATCACCTATCCACAAGTCAAGGGGAACCGTCACATGTATCCAACTTTGCAATCGTCCAGAAGCTGAGGTCAGATCTTGCGGGGTCTGCTGATGGAACTTCAGAGCTCTCCAACAGCTCGTGGACCTCCTGTCAACATATATTCATCATGTGTCAAATCTTTGGGCACCTGCAAATTTCACATAAATTACCTCAGGAGTGAACATATATGTCCTTAACCATATCAGCTGGTTCGTCAGTGAGCGCAGCGTCTTCGACTGCGTTGTTGCAAGGAGGCCGGGGCCCCACCTAATCAGGACACAAAGAAAAACACCATGCATACAAAACATCGCTGAAGAGGCTTTGGGCTGCTGAGTTCAAAACTCGTCCCGGCTCTTCAGCATGTCCTTTGTGGTCAGCTGACCGGCCTCAAAACAACGCCGATATGCATCTTTGTATGTCAATGTCATATGGGCAAGGACCAGACACAAAATTACAATCGAGAAGCCTTTCTGATCATCATCCGAATCCAAAATTTCCACATACTTCCCCGACAGTTGGGCAATAACTTTGCGACGCTGCGATTGCAATTCTTCCCACTCCTGAACCACAAATGATTCGATCAGCATTCTTGCCCCACAATGTTCACAACAATTTGAAAAAAGAAAACAGCCGCTCCTCAACACCAGGCTTTGGCGACTCTTCAGCATCTGCAGCTTCATGCAATTCTTTTTCCTGATGAATATGTATTGAAACCAACCATACTTAAAAGCAGTAGCTGACAAGCTGTTTACATGGCATCCATCGACAAGCTTCGTCAATATTCCATGCTTTAGCAACATCTTGGGAGTCTTCACCCACAAAAGGCTGCATAGTCTCAAAGAGGAGCTGAACAACCGGCTGCTCACGGACCCAGGTTGGCCATCCATCATCCGTTTTTCCTTGGCGTGCCTTTCGCCAAACCTTTCTGGTGAACCTTAGATGCTGAAAGCGCATGCAGGAACTTATATAAAGTAGCAATGCTATGTAGCAAGAGGACGTAGCTCCAATTTTGCGGTGCATGCAAAAATTGCATGATTGAAACAAGACGCTGCATCAACGTTTTCAAATCATACACTGCCAACCAAAGCATTCCCTCGGCTGCTGTTGGCATAACCTTCTGCAGAACGGCGTGCAAGCTATCTTGGTGAATGGGCTGGGATGGCACAAGAGTTGCGAGGGGCTGAAGCGCCCACGAGTATTCCGCTATGGTCGTGTCTTTGGACATGGTCTTACCTAAGTCCACTTTTCCACATGGCAAAAACTGACACAAGAACAGGACACCACCCAGTCTCTAGTGTCACATGTGTGAACTGCAAATCCCTTTTACTTTCTAAGTCAAGATGCTGTTGGTGGCGAAGCCATCGAACAGTTTTGTTGGATCTACACTGCAGGCGCCTTGTATTTTTTCTGGCATCATGCTGCATATCTTTGTGGACAAATCAGCAACGTCGGTAGGTTCGAGACGAACCTCAACGATCCCTTTTGACCGTCCCATGGTATACATGCATGCTGATAGCGCAGCACACACGTCACTTGAGGAAAATCTTCTGGCAGTCAAAATGAACAAATGTTCTGCATGTCCGCTTCCACTGGCAACAAAACCCCACCCAACATCACTGCATGTGTCCTTGCAGCAAGAGCTTGCGCCGCTTGGACATGACTTCAAACCTCATTGTGCAGAAAGTGCAAGAAAAAACAGGGACATAATTAAGCAATTGCATGTGTGCATGGCGTCTCCACGAGAAGCGCACGGCTCAACGAGTTCACTTTATGGCTGGAGGCCTGCCAGCGGATCATATTGACACTTCTGTTATGTTTCCAAAACTTCTGCACGCGATAGCCGCAGATCACGCATACAAAACAAACAAACTTTTTCAACGAACAGTTTGATCACAACTTCTGCACTGCGAACTATTTTGTTAACATGCCTCTGAAGGTTCAAGTCAGTTTGCAACATGATAGGAAAGATCATGCTGTATGGCCAACCTCCATTCCCAGTTGGATGCGGCTAGCTCCACCTGTGACAAGTCTGCATGCCCAAAATGAAAATATGTAGTGAATATCAGATTGCCACTACTCTGCATCAAGTGTCAAAGAACGTCAGTGCAAGTCAACAAGGCGATTCAATTCCAAATTGTCCAGCCTATCGCCCATGATTGGCCTGCACGTGCATATGAAAATCATGCAAACAATTTTTCAGTGCTGCATTTATTAATTCCTTGTCAAAAATCTGCTGCAAGGCTCATGTACTTTTTTTGTCCTGGCCATATCTGTCTTTTCATCGCCGTCCGGACGATCTGACCGACCCCTTGGACACTTTCAGAATCTGGGGTTCATCAAAATCATTCCCGGGCGTCCCAGGTGTCCCATACACTGGCCCCACATCTTCGTACTCTTCCTCCTTAACGTGCTCTTCAGGGTCATCTGAACCAGTGTCATAAGGCAAAACAATGTCACTGGCTGGCAATGTCTTGGCATCCATGGGCATCTTTCGGTTTTTGAAAGTGCTTGCGCCAATGACAGTCGGCGTTGTGGAAGCAGGGCGTTTTCCGGTCGCAGCTTTATTCCCGATGACAGTAGCGGCTGAGCTCTTTGCACCGATGGGATTGGACATACCTGCAAGCAGAAAGGTACGTGAAGTAGACTCTGCCTCAGCCGATTCCGGCACCATGGTCACAGGAATCTCCCCGCCCAGGAGAAGGGTACGGTCATCATCCTCTTGAAGTCTGCTCATCTTGGCAGACAGAAGTTTGCCAGCAATCTCATGGTTTCCTCGTTCAGCGAGATCCTGCATTTGCAGGGCCATGTGAAATTGTCATTGGAAACAAACATATAACAGTCACATTCACGTGTCCTTCAATTGAAAGATTTTTGGGCGAAAAAACAGTTTTGGATTGAAAATAATGCAGACAGAAACCAATACATACAGAACATGTTTTCCAACGTGTTTCCATCACTGTGCATATCACATCTGTCCTGTGTCAACCTGCTAACCTCTTTCAAAGTTCGACGCGCAGCTCTGGCAGCATTGAGGGCTGTCCGCTTTGCAGCTTCAGCTGCCATGTAGTCATGCGCTGCGCTCTGTGCCATCTGCGCAGCTGCGCGCCATGCAACTTCGGAATTCCAAGGGCCAGAAGATTGGGAACTGCACGCTCCACCATGAGGCTCCTGATCAAAGGTGCAGCAGCTATGGAAAAATATTAAATTGCATCAAACATATCAGCCGGCGCCAGGTTGCAGAAAACACAACAGCAATGGCCAGTCTTCAGACCAAACATTCAAAAAAGAGACAACACTGTCACAGGTGCAACCGGGAAGCAACCTGCAAAACAGGCGGCGGCGGTCGATTGATGCCATGCTTCTCCCATGTGGGTCTCTCAGGCATGGCTTTCGGCAAAATTTTCGGCGAAGGCCGAACAAATTGAAAATTCTTCGCTGGCGGCATTTCAAAAACTGGGTCTTGAGGCGAGCAGCGAATGGAAATCTGATATGTCTGCAGATGTGTCTGCAACGACTTCGTCAACCCTGCCATTTTCAGTGTTGCAATGGCCGGTTTGCTGCACGTGCCCAGCCCCAATCCAAACCAAGCCCGCCTGCACATGCATGCGCAGCATGCCACCCAGCCGGGATGTCAACTCATGTTTGTTGGTTCAATGAAAGTGATGGCTCAAATGCTCACAGCATGATCGTTTGCAAATCACGTTTCTGCTTGCCATTGCCCATAATTGGCAACTAGAGTAACTAGAGTGCCATGCAAATCTCCTGCTGACGTGTTGCCAAAATCTGTCACCAAACCACGAACCAAATCACGGCGAATGTGAACCCAAAATGTGAAACATGCATGACATGACCAAACAAAATGAAACAACATACCACCCATAAAACCTTAGGGGCCGTAGCCCACAGGGGATTGACGTGACCAAACAAAATGAAACAACATGCCACCCATAAAACCTTAGGGGCCGTAGCCCACAGAGGATTACACAACATACATGAAACAGGAACCCAAAGCCCGCACATGCATGGTATAAACCCACACGCACGCACGTACCGCATGATCCTGCCATGTCAAAGCGCATGCATGGAGGGGCTGCAGCTGATTGTGAAAATATGATGAAGAATAATTAAATCATCGTTTGTTGAATCTGTAATCGATCGGTTGTTCCATGCCTTCATTGCTTGTGATCATTCTGACAAAACTTAATTCTATGTTTTCGGCAACGCAAATGTTGCAAAACCACAAAACAACAGTTGAAAATAGATTTCTTTTCTGTTCAACGGTGTCACGGCTCCACGTTACCATGGTCAGCCGCTCATTGTCCGGCGTGCTATATACATGATGCGTACTTTTGTCTTGGGTATCCATGCGTATGCTAAAATAAACACCCAGCCGGCGTTTCTTTGTGAAAGTAACACCCACGGGCTTTTCTTCTGAAAATAAACACCCTGGGCGTAAAAAGTACACCCAGACCCTAGATTGGCATGTCCAGGTGGATGCCGGATGCCGGATGCCGGTGCCGGATGCCGGTGCCGGATGCCGGATGCCGGATGGCCGGATGGCCGGATTGCCGGATGCCGTGCCGGTGCCGGGTGCCGGATGCCGGATGCCGGATGCCGGTGCCGGTGCCGGTGCCGGATGCCGGATGCCGGATGCCGGATGCCGGATGCTGGATGCCGGGTGCCGGATGCCGGTGCCGGATGCCGGTGCCGGATGCCGGATGCCGGGCCGGTTGCCGGAAAACAAAAAATGTATATTATGGAAGTGGATGGTGCCTCTTCTCACGGATCTGCGTTCACAGGGCCTACTCCATCGAGCCAGGGAGGGGGCCAGCGACTTGAATGCTGCCTTGAGCTTCTTGTACAATGCACCCTTGTGGCTGGAGCATGAAGAATGCAAGTTTGTGTACAATAGGGGAATGAACTTTCTCCAAGCCTACTCCGCGCTTGCTCGTGACTGCTTCAGGCAGAACAAGTACCACCTCTATCCGCTGTATCCGAAACTACATGCAGTACATCATGTCTGGCTGCTGATCTCCCAAGATGGGGACTCTGTGGGATATGCTATGAATCCACTGACCGCATCATGCCAACAAGACGAGGACATAGTGGGCAAGGTGAGTCGAACAAGCAGGCGGGTGAATGTGAGAATGGTGATTCAAAGAACTCTTCAGCGTTACCTCATGGCATCTTACAAGGTATGGTTTGACGCAAAGATCATCGCTTAGAAGCGCGAGGAAGGAAAAAGAGAGAGATCAATGGGTGAAAGGGAAGAAGGAACATGTGATGTGCATTTTTCACATATCATGGTGATTTGTTTGCGAAGTGATTTTTATTGATTTCCAGGAAACCTGGTTTTTCTGAGAAAACCTTGTTTTTTTGCCACGACCAAAAAAAGCAGGAGGCTGAAGGTATATATGTGTGTGTGCCATATATAGTCTCAGATGGTATGTCAGAAACTATGTGAGAATAGGATCGCTCGAAGTAAAGTAGTTATTTTTGGTCAATCAATGGACTACATGGCAATTTGTACCATAGTTATGTTAAATTACCAGGGGTACATTCTGTTATATAATCATCATTATTAATCATGATTTACCATTACTAACCAGTTTCAACATGTATTATCCATCATTTAGCCAGAGGCAACCAGTACTAACATGTGTTAACCATATATTAACCACACATTAACCATGCATTAGCCAGATATTAGCCATTTATGGAACTCCCCATCATTACTAACATTGGGAATGCGCGTCCCCACTTCCCACAGGACTTGGAGAACAACTTCAGCGGCATGGAGCCCACCTACGAGGACAAAACGATTTGTAGCGTTTGGCTATGGAAATGGAAGAAACCTAATGGGCCTATGAACTTTTATTGCAGATAGGCAGATGGATAGATAGAATTTTCGGTTTCCATGTTTGAAGATTAATGGACCCCAAAAGTTGTGCTTTGGTGATTTTGTTCATTGGATATGGCCATGAGATGCACATTTGTGGGGCATGATATGGCCCCAACCATTTCCGGAGGTGATGCTTCGAAAAATCGCTGGATCAACAGGGGAAATTTACTAATGGGCCCCACCATCGGGATGGCCGATGAGCAAAATCCCATGTTTTCTCGTCATTTGTTCATTCGGACTGCCATGGTGGGAGTAAATCCCCTCGTTTCTGCGTCTATCCCCTTCATATCCAGGTATTACATCCAATTACATCACTATTATCGGATTAATTTCTATGTTTCCAAGTTTCCAAGGACAAAACCACACAAATACTGCATCCAATAGTACATAATTAAATATAACTATAGATAACTATAGTAGCTGCTATGGTTATCTTATTCCATGATATTTCCACACATTTCGATCCATTTAGGTGTGTTCGAAAATGGGGTATACTCTCAAACGGCTATTAAATAAAAGGGAGCATCATGGTAAACCACTGGATAAAATGATTTCCTCTCTCTATTTTTAGACAATCCAATTTTTGGTAGGTTTACCCTCCAGAAAATTGACAATTGCACCCTGAAAATAGCCAATGATTTGGTGGAAACGAATCGTCTAACCCCATGGCAGGGTCCAAGTGGGGGGTGATATCCCTATGAACCCCCCTATGGCCCTATGGATGGGAAATCCCATGAACCAACTACCAACCAACCATGTTTAGGAACGACGGGACGACGTTGCGGGATTTGAACGGTGTTCACTGCTGCTCACTGCTGTTCACTGTTATCAAAAACCGCAGCCACGAGTCTCACTTCACGAGTCTTGAACTTATCTTGCCATGGACTGGGCGCGGTCGAAGTTTTCCTCGATGAAAAGTGCTGGTTTTAAAGCAACTTTGCTCAAAATGGAGGATTTGTTTGCTGGGTTTAGCCTGAAAAACGAGGGATGATTCATGGGGTTATTCCTGCTAAACTGGTTTTAATATGGCTATTTTATGTGTGTTACCACTATATATGAGGTTATTGATCGAATGATTCATGCTGATTGATTAATGGGATCGTTCATGGTGCAGTAAGTATGTTCATTCCCCGGCATGAAACATCAGAACTTCTGGATTGTGTTCTTTCCCAGTGAAGTTTGGGAGGTTTGATTGATAGCACTGTCCAAATTTGATTTCGGAATGAATATCAAAATATAATGAAATAGCTTGGAAGATGGGAATTCACTACATATTTGTTGAATATTTACCGGCAAATTTGGACAGACATGCCAGCTACAATGATCAGTCGGAAATTGATGTTTTTTTTTGCGGTCGGCCTGCCAAATGGGTCCGGAGATTTGCCTGTTGAGATGGTTGAGTCGTGCTGAATCCTTTCAAAAAAACGGTCATCACCAGTGGATACCAGTGGATATTAATTGACGAACCTGTGAAGAACCTATGATTTCCCATGGGGTTGAAACGCGTCTGATAAAAATCATTGGGGATTCCCTTGCTACACACTTCCATGGCTAGTTCGATGTCCCAGCCATCTTCGCGAAATCTCAGGCAGTAAAATGGTCCTCGAGTTCAACAAAGGAGGGCGCCACCTGGAAAAAACGTCAACGCCTATATTTTTGGTTGATGATTTCTAGTCATTCTAGTCATGTCTCTTGGGTTCCCGAAGTATTTGGATGATATTACCATTTTGATGCGGGAAAGCGAAGCGCAGATAGTAGATCGATGGTCATATCTCCAGATGTTTTTGTCCCAAAAAAAACGGGGGATACCCCAAGGCAACCCAAGTTGTAGGCATTTTTTCACGGGGAACATGGCAAACCAAAGCAATTTATAGATGTTGGGACATGGTTTCTACACAAACCTAGTGAACTTCTTGTTCCCTACATATTTATTCAAAAACGGATAGATCAAACTACACCAACTTTATATTTCCCAGCAGTTTGAATTGTTGTTGTTTTTTTGTCAGTACCCCATGTATCTCCAGGCTGTATGGTTAATGAGAAATATATATATATATATTTGTGTAAACAATATTCTCAACCATGATATGTTTGTTCCTTCCAAACACGTTCATTTTGAAAATAAATAATCACCAAACCAACAACCAACATGATCATTTTCCATTATAGTAGCTATAATGTGGTAAACCCAAACCCAATACCATAAACTGCCATAAACCATCCCACTAACCTTTTGGGGGTAACGATAACAACATCTTCCCATTTCCAGGGGCATGCCCAATGTCATAAACCTCAAATTTGGAGATGTTTTATTAATTTCTATTATAGCCCTTCCATATCAAAAGCGATTCGATTACAATCCAACTAAATCAATTACTCTTGATTTATGTTTAATCGCACTATTCATCTTCATACTAACCAGGTCATGCTAACTATATCATCTCCATATCATCCCACTATATCAAACTCTCCCAGTTTTTGGGTGGTTAAACAACCCAAAACCCACATTTCCCCAGCTTCCTCCCTGCCTAGGCGGTGTCGGCGCCTCATCCCATTCCGCCAGGTCGGAGAGCCGTGGGTAAACACCAATGTCGATATATAATCATGGTTATATAATGGTTATATAATGGTTATATAATGGTTACATATGATTATATATGGCTATATATCATTTATATAATATATATATATCTCTAAATCTATATCGATCTATTGATTTGCCGTTTCTTAACTATCTATCTATTTGTTTGTCTATCTGTTTGTAATGATTGCGATTTTATTTAAAATCCTTACCATGCGTACATCAGTAAGTTCTTGGTTGATTAGTTGGGGGGCCGGCCCCGCCAAAAGAAGTGACACGCGGCTATGTCTAATTTTGGCTATTAACACGGTAGTACCATGTAGTACCCCAATTCAATTTGATAAAACCAACCAATGTGTTGTAAATTTGGAGTAGGGAGTCAACACCAAGGACGCCAAACTTCCAGCATGTTTTCACACCTAACAGATTTGGGTAGGACGGGGTTGCTATATTGAACCCCTATCAAAGAGATGATACGTCTAGTGGTCCCTGGCAACCTGGTTGGAGACGCTGGAGGCGAGGGTTTCCAAGGTGGACCAGCACTCCGTCAGGCAAGGAAAACATGCCGTGCCCCATCAACGGCATGTTCCTCAGCAAAGAGGCAGAAGAAGCGAAGAACGAGTTGGAGAACGACCCAGACATTGTGAAGGAGTCGTTTGGGGGGATTCCAAGAATGGGGGATCATAACTTCAGAGGAATAAACCACTGGGCTGTTCAATTGTTCAAGTGTGGGGGGTGGCATTTTGGTAACAAATGAATTCAGTATTTGGAGGGAAAGGCAGGCTTGACGCTCTGGCGTGGTGAAAGTGAAGTTGCAGTTTCTGCTTTGGTGGGTTCAGTTTCTTTAATTTTGGTTCGACTCTCTTATCCATGAGAGAAAAGAAACATAGTTTGTTTGGATAAGACAAGCCAAGCGGCAGTTTTTGATGTTGTACGGAAAATTTCAGCATTTTGCGTAACAGCATATGTTTCTGTTTTTCCGCGTTCGTGCATGTGCTGTGCGGGTACATCCTAAGTAAGTGGGAAACAACATGATCCAGTCATGGACTATCCCCAGTTCTTCCTAATTATTACAGTAATTGGTTAAGATGTATGAACCATAAAACACTTACTGTACTGCTCTTGGGGTGCACATCCATTTTCCACCAACTTGCGCAGCATTTTTCATTACTTTCCACTCGAACGATCCGATACAGGAAAAACAACACTTCTCTGAGCAAGCGCTGGTGATGGCACCCATGGCACCACCCACCAGTTTCATTCCCATGCAGGTGGCTGGTGTTTCCGTATCCGGTCGGAAGGTCCCAGGAAAAATACCTTTAAGGGAAACCTTTGAGGGTAACAATGCGGAAGTTTCAAAGATAGGTAACTATAGGAGAGGTGAGTTGTTGTGATGCATGGATGGCAGAGCGAATCCTTTTTGGAGTGGTCGCAGGGTCACCTCAACCACACCTGCTGGATGCAGTGTGGTGTAGTGTAGTGTAGCGTAATGTAGTGGTAGTTTCAGTTGAAGTTGTTTTGTAGCTGTAGCTGTAGTTCATGTTGTTGTAGTTGTAGCTGTAATGTTCTTGTTGCAGTTATTTGCAGTTGTAGTTGTAGCAGTTGTAGTTGTAGTGTAGTGGTAGTATAGTGTAGTGTTGTGAAGTGGAGTGTAGTGTACTGTAGACTAGAGTAGTGGAGTTGTAGTTGCAGTTGCAGTTGTAGTGGTCATTGTAGTTGTCGTGTAGTAGTTGGAGTTGGGTGTGGAGTTGGAGTTCTAGTTGTATAGTGTAGTGTAGTGGTAGTTGTGGCTGTAGTTATTGCTGCTGTTGTGATTGTAGTTGTAGCTGTGTCTGTGTAGTTGTAGTTGTGGCTGTTATTGTTGTAGCTGTAGTCGTAGGAGTCGGAGTCGCAGTAGTCGTAGTAGTAGTCGTCGTGGTCGTAGTCGAGTCGTATAGTCGTAGTCGTAGTAGTCGTAGTAGTCGTAGTAGTCGTAGTAGTCGTAGTAGTCGTAGTAGTCGTAGTAGTCGTAGTAGTCGTGGTAGTCGTAGTAGTCGTAGTAGTCGTAGTAGTCGTAGTAGTCGTAGTAGTCGTAGTAGTCGTAGTAGCAGTAGCAGCAGTAGCAGAAGCAGTAGCAGTAGCAGTGGCACTAGCAGTAGTAGCAGCAGTAGCAGCAGTAGTGGCAGTAGCAGTACTAGTAGTAGGAGTAGTAGTAGTAGATAGGAGCAGTAGTAGTAACAATAGTAGTAGCAGTACTAGTAGTAGGAGTAGTAGTAGTAGTAGTAGATAGGAGCAGTAGTAGTAGCAATAGTAGTAGCAGTAGTAGTAGTAGTAGTAGTGTTGGTAGTAGTAGTAGTAGTAGTAGTCGTCGTCGTAGGAGGAGGAGGAGTTGTTGTTGTTGTTGCTGGTGGTGGTGGTTGGTGGTTGGTGGTTGGTGGTTGGTGGTTGGTGGTTGGTGGTTGTTGTTGGTTGTTGTTGGTTGTTTGTTGCTTGTTGCTTGTTGCTTCTTGTTATTTTTACTGTTCTTTGTTTTTGTTCTTGTGTTTGTTCTTGTTCTTGTTCTTGTTTTTGTTCTTGTTTTTGTTCTTGTAGTACTTGTAGTAGTAGTAGTTGTTGTTGTTGTTGTTGTTGTTGTAGCTGCTGTGTCATGTGGTGCAGTTCAACGTCCAAAAGCGGTCCGAGAATAGTGTGCTTTGGACATTTTGACTTCGAAATGTGCTTCGCGCCACCACGACGTGCGCTTTTTCGACATCTCAACTTCCAAGAGTGGCCCGAGACTGTCCGAGAATGGTGTGTTTTGTGCATTTTGACTTCGACGTGTGCTTCGCGCCACAACGGCGTGCACTTCTTCAACATCTCAACTTCCAAAAAGTGCTCCAACATTTGTGTGTTTTGCACATTTTGACATCGAAATGTGCTTCGCGCCACAGCAGCGTGCACTTTTTTCATCTCTCATCTGGCCAGATGGCTTCGCACCTGCCGCTTTAGCGTGCCTACTTTTCGACCCTCCGGAGCCACAAACAATTGGAAAACACTGAGTCGCGACTTTTCTACCTTTTCGTGCACCTGCATCTTCTTTCTTCTGACTCTTTCTCTTCTCTGATCTTGTTTCTTCTCTTCTTCTCTTCTCTTCTCTTATCTTCTCTTCTCTTCTCTGACTCTTCCCACCTCTGCTTTTTATTTGTCCATGTGTCCATATTGTCGGAAGTTTGACTTCTAAGCTTTGGTCGATAATATAAGTATATATGTAAATATAATATATTTATATATACTTTATCATTAGCAGATATGATGTGCGGTGTGGGTGTTGGCGTTTCCATTGACCAAACAGTTCCATTTTCGGCCTTGGGGAGGGGTAGCCAACGGTGCCCTGAAGATGTCTTATATACAGATAATAGTTATAAGCTCCGGCAATCAAACCCCAATGTACCCTCTGTTTTTTTACGTCATTGATTCTCGCACAGAATGGGCCATGGCTTCCGTAGCTATGTTAATTTTTTGGAGGGCAACATCCGCAGTTTTGAGATTTACAAATGACTTGCTTGTTCAGCCCGGAGTTTCCATGCTTTTGACCAGCCATATGTGACAAGTCAGTTTGCCACATTGCCCTTCAGACATATGAAGCCTCTGACAGTGACTGAAAAAACAGCATCCTCCTACCATTGCCAGATGCGATTGGGTTTTCCTGCTTATCAGCACTAGCACCATCATTTTGTCAGATTGGTGGTTTGTTTTTTGTTAAATAATGTTTTGTTTTTTGGCTGGTCATAGATTAATTAATCACCCCAAAAGGGGTGATCCGAAGATTAATTACCCGGATGCAATAGTATTCATGGTATCCCCAATGGTTAAACTGTTGTTCATAATGATTATACAATGCTTCATACTCCCAACGATATTAAAATACTACCAATGATTGTAGTTACCACAATTAATCAATTTTTGATGGCGGTTAGTATTCCCAATTGCTATGATAACTATGATTGATATCATATATTAAATATTATGGTGGGATAGTATGCCAATTAATTGTTATCATGGTATACCATTACAATACATTTTTTAGATAAGTGATAGTAAAACTTACTTAATCAATATTATATCATAGGATCAATATCGATATTGAATTTATTTAATGAACAATATCCCTGATTTATATATATATATATGTATATCAATAGTTATATATATATATATTTAAATAAACATATGATAATAAAATCATCAGTGTTACAGCCGTCACTTCTTCGGGTTCGAACCAGGTGATTCATGGTGCGCATACGCCGTCTGAAGCCACTAGCACCTTGGCGTGGATCAGAGGCGATCAGATGACCAGCCAAAGGATCAATGGGAACCAAAAATGACCGGGATTTCATCAACAAAAATGCTGAACAAATGCAGTTTAAGCTTGCAAAAATGCGGAAAATGTAGGTTAACCTGGAAACAATGCTGAAAAATGTAGTTTAACCTAGAAAACATGCTGAACAATGTTAGTTGAATCAGTTGAACCTGAACAAATCAAAATTAGTGGCAACTGAACCTGGAAAAATACTGGAAAAAACACATTAGCGCGAAAAACTAATGATTTAACCAACGCAAACGGAGATGTTTATTATTATTGGTATAATAAGGGATAAATATATGATAATACATGACTGGAGCGACTGTCACGACTTCACACTGTGACGTGATGACAAATAATGATGGGATTTGGATCAAAATGGTCGAACTAGTCACGTGAGTGAATCATTATAATCTATGCAGGCCCACTAGATGGATTTGGGGGAAATATATGGATATGGGTCACATTGGAAAGCCCAGAAGACCACAGATTTGGTTCATTTTAGTCGTACACCATCCTATTTTGGCACACCATGGCATACCCAAAGTTGATTTATTTATCTACGCAAAAAAATAGTAGCATCATTGGTTTGTATTGCTTGTTGGTTCAACCAGCAAGAAACCCCGATTTTTTGGTTTCCCTTCCAGGTAGGTAAGTACCCCCAAAGTCTTGCCTGCACAACCAGCCCGGTGTTGGATGGGTAGGGCAACTCGAAGTGTCCGACCGTAGTTGCACACCTTGAAAGTGACATAGCACTAATGTTGACACGTGGTTTCTTGAAATAGGCGCTTGCCATGTCGAAGAGCTCATTTTATCGTGATTTGGGGGTTTCCTAAAATGGGGGGCGGCACCCCAAATCATCCAAAATTAGACCATTTTAATACTGAAACATACTGAAACTAATGGTTTTGGGGATCCCCCTTTTTCAGAAACTCCCATTTGCAACTTTCACTCGATTGACCAGGGCCAATTAATCCTGGGTTGCCATCATTCAATTTTTTGCGTGGAAGAGCGAAGATCCTTTGGGCATTGGTCTTGGGAGACGTGAGTGGCTCGGGATTCAACCATATCTCCCTCCAGTTTGGTGACCACAATGAAAAGGGTTTACTAAGGGTTAATCTCAACCAGCAATAGCCACGATGACAAATCCTTTTTCATGCCTTTTAACTGGCCGTTTTTGATTGGGTTGTCCATCCTTACCAAGAATACTATTTAGTTGTTGTTGTTACGAACCACCTATGATTAGTAATACTAACTATTAACAACAACAATGTTATAAACCATCAACTAGTGTTAACTAAGCATAATAGAATTAATAGATACAACTAATACCAACTATTATCTATGATCCATTATTTAATAATATGTTGATGATGCTTGGATCCCCGTGTTCAATTCTTACTTCACTGACGCCAAGCGACATGCGGCTTCGACGCTCGTGTGTCGCTGCCAAGGAAGGCTTGTTGAGAAGAATCTGGGCTTTTCGAAGGGAAGTCACCCTGGAGAAGTCGCAATAGTTTGCCACTACCCTCTGGTAAAATAATAGAACTATACATAACTACTGAAAAATCCCTTTTGAATAGGAGAATCATCATAAATCATTTGCAGATGGTCCATGTTCCATGGCCATGTTAGTTTGCCAAAGGGTAACAAACGTCATTGGAATTGGTTTCAAGGGGGGGAAACATGACCCTGAGAATATGGTATATCTCCAGTTATGGCCATTTCAATAGTTCTCATTGGATTGGTTTAAGGGAAAATGACTACAGGAAAGCCCTATCTATACGACTGATGGGGAAAAGCCATGGTTTCCGGTGAAGACTTTCCCAACCAAACCAATCCAGTGAAGCTGAGGATTCCTTGGGGAATGGTGGGTATCAGTGGATCTTCTCATGATTCTTCAATGTCTATGACTGTTTGAAACTCATTTGATATCATATATTATGCAGTTAGGCTCTGTTAGGCTCTGTTATGTTGACACCCTAGACGGGTGGCTGAGGTGGCAAGTCAGAAACGGCATGCCCCTCAGCAGCCCCCCCGCTTGCGCCATCGAGATGGCCAGAGCGGCGGAGAGCATCTATCAAAAAACAAAAACAAAGGTCAGCCCATCACGGTGTAGCCCCTAAAGCCAAGGGAAAAGTTACCTAGGTTACGGTGAGGAGAAATATCAAACAGATGGACCTCAGTGAATTGAGAGACAGGGGTTTGTGGAAATTGCCATGGTAGCAGAATTGGGAATGGCCCAAGCAAGCGCGGTCAAGTGCGACTTTTCAAGGCGCTAGGTCTTATAGTTCCATTGCCAGCTTAGCAGTGCGTCGACCAACAAAAACAATTTTGTCACGAAGGACAGAAAGATCCAAGGCAGTTAAACCAAGACATATTTGGTCGTATTTGTACTTTTGGCCGAAATAATAGCAGCTACCCTCTGGTAAACTAACATAGCTGTAGAAAATCACAATTTTGTGTGGCTAAATGAACTATACACGGGCCATGTTTATCCATTTTCAATAGCTATAGATGGTAAATTCCATTAAAATCCCATTAAGATCCCATTAAAATCCCATTAAGATCCCATTAAAGTCCATTAAAATCCCATTAATATCCCATTAGTTGATTAGTTATATCCCATTAAAACCACCATTGACATAGCCTATCAAAGTCCCATTAAACATCTGCGACATCCCAGGGTCGGTATGGAGAAGCTGCGGCGCTTCACGGGTTTGTTCTACGAGCGATGCTTCGTGGATCCTCACCTTGACCAGTTGGGGGCCCAGGGGGCCCAGAGGCTGAGTCAGACTTGGGAGGTTTGGAGGGTGACCAATAATATTCCAGTATAGATGGAATATATTGTAATTATTGGAATATTAATTACATAAGTTACATATTATATTGTACTATGGATGTAATATAGATGATGTGCCTAATATATGCTGATGATCAATGAATTGGTTACCTGGTTTAAGGGAAAAAACACTACAGGAAAACTATGGCAAACCCCTATGATCTTTTCATGGGAAAATCGGATAGCCCCTGGGCCTTGGACCCCGTGGACCTCCAGGTTCATTGCAGAGCACTCGGAGCCACATGCGGAGCGTTTCGCCAATTGGATTGCGGATGCTTGACGAAAAGAAGGGCTGGGCAGATGGAAGTCTAACTTGAAGAGATGGGGATGGTGAAATTGTGGGTTTGTGGGATTCACCTGCCATGGATTTTTGATGATGTTTACATACTTTGATTTTTCTTTGTTAACGTGGCCAGTTTTGTCAGTTGCAACCCTGGCTGCTTCAGCAGCGCGCCTCCAGCATAGCTATAGATGGAAGCCATAGCCGATTGAGTTCGATGATGTATCTACTAAAACGTGGAAATAGTAGCTATGAACAATAGTAATCTCTATTATATGCCCATTGATTAGTCACTATATTCCCAATGATATATTCCCCCCTTCCTACTATGGATGCAAGTACTTCCTGAGAAAGTACGGCTAACCTCCCCAATCATACTGTAAAAAGGTCCTCAAAAGGTACGCTGTGATTTATACAATGTGGATCCCCCCAGTTATAAGTTGGTTTATAAACCCCATTACTTATATGTATCATGAACCATAGTGAAATTGGAGTTATAAACGCACCAACTTAGCCATCATAATTCAGCTATACACCACATTAAATCCACCATGTTTGCTGGTGAAATCACCATTTTCCTTACGGTTTTCCTATGGTTTTCCTATGGCCCCACCCGGGCCACCCCTTTTTAAACGCCAAGGAGAAGTTGGGCTTCGGCACGCCCTGGACGCAGGAGCGTCGAACTCGGCCCAAGCACCTGGGCGTAGTGTCTATTCAGGTCGTGTCCCAGATGTGACATGGTCAAAAGGTTGGACTTAACCAGTATCATGTGAAAATGGGGTTAGAATGGGATAATTATAACAGATGTCGGACTTATCCCAGATGTATCATGTGAAAATGGGGGATTTAACGTGATTTAAACCAACATGTTGTTGGGGATAGAATGGGATATTACAAAACATCAACAAACTAGAATCGAACATTTGATTGTATATCCATATTTGGAATTATAGTTGCCATTTTTGTTGGGCCAAAATGCTGCTACCGATGCACAAATAAACACAATTTCTCAACCTTCCAATGATGTTCCAGATCCTTTGCGCTACCCTCTGGTAGTCAAACACGGCTTGCTGGAAATTCCACTATTTACATGATTTCCCTAGCTATGGCTCCTATGACTTATGACCCTTCATTCATATAGGATTTCCGATTGCCATGTTTGACTACCGAGGGCATTCCTATTAATAACCGTTATTAACCATTAATCATCATTCATCGCCAATATTGACCATTTTGAACCATTATTTCATCATTATTAACCATTAGTCATCATTATTAACAATTAATTAATTATTATTATCAATCATGAATTATCATTATTAACCACTATTAACCACTATTAACCACATATTTTATCAATTTTACCCGCCGGACTGTTTGCCCACCAGACGTTATCCCAAGAAGTTCATGCACTTCGGCGACGAGACCATGCAGGCGACGGAAGTTTTTAAAACATGGTGAATTCCATGGTGAATTATCGATGTCTCCATAAGGTGAACCACATAATTCATGATGGTAATTAACCAACATTAACATGGTTTTCTTATGGTTGATTAACATCCAGTGGGACAATGGAACAAATCATAATGGTTAATGATTGTTTATATAATAGTTGTTAATGTGGGTAATGTGGGTAAAACATCACGTTAATATAGATCATAACATTGATCATGTATGAATATCTAATAGATACCATTAATGTGGGTGAAACAATCATAAACCATCCTCCCAATCGCCAGTTTTATAAGTTTTTATAAACCATTCCCAGTCATGTGTGGTTCATTCTTTTACCCAAATTATGATGTTTCACCATGGTAAACAAACCAGTGGACAATTCGTGGTGAATTATGGTGAACTATGGTTTAACCAGTGAACACGTGTGATTAATTGATTGTGGTTCAATTTTGGTGAATATATGATATGGTTTGTTTGAACATTTAGGGATAAACTTAGGGGGAAAACCTATATAAATCTACAGGCTAATGATGGTTCACTATAGTAAATCAATGTTAAATCAGAGGGACGTTGTTGTCGATTATGCTGAATTTTGGTGAACTATGGTTAAAGCAGGGAAGTCCATTTTCAGATTCACCTATTTGTCGAATTTTGTTGATATTATTGGATATTCTTGGTTACTGTTGCTTTCCAGCTTGAAATGAGAGATCATGGGACAATATGGGAATAAAGATGATGCTAGTAAAGCCTCTACATTTTTTTGGTCTGCGCTTTGAGTCTATTCTTCCTTTCCATGTAGCTATGGCACACCAAAAGCAAACCTCTACCATTTTCAGGGAGATGAACATCCATATTCCTATATTATGATGTATAATGAACATATTCTTAGATAGTCATTTTGAAGATCATACAAGGTGAACATCTACAAATCCTTGTTATTTGGATCTTCAGCCATGAACCTCATGGGTTTTAACGCATCCCCATGGGAATCTTCGTTCCCCTCACAGATCAGCCGTTTTTTGCTGCGGAGGTGTCTCACGACCGCAGCACGGCACACTTCGCGGCCTGGTATTCTCCGAAGCGCGAAGCGCAGCATATGGGGCAAAAGTTCCAGCCAGAGGCCTCCGGTGACGGGTAAAACCTCGGTCATGTGTCCTGAGGGATTGGAAAATATCCAACATGGCGAGTAATTTGTTCATAGGAATTGGAGCCATGTATTGAAGCGGATCTCTCAGAATTGCCAGTATCATTAGTAACTAGTACCAGTATTGTTTAAACCTTTAATCTGTTGTGATTTCAATCGGAATTTCTACTAACCAGCTAGGAATTTAGTTTCCTTTTTTGGGGGGAAGGGTATCTAAGATTGGCAATGATGATTGGGAAATTCGGTCAACTTAGTGATGGAATAACATAGAACCAATAACTACTGGAGAGAGAATTATGGTTGGTTGAACATGGTCTCACTTTATAATGACTTTATAATTCGTCAGCTTTAGAGGCATTCAATTTCTTTGGAGCCGGAACCATATGGGCTGGGGAAATTTCCATTTGTCAGCGGGAGTGTCTTGGACATCATGGAGGTATGTGCTTTTTTAGAAGGCGGGTAGTAGAAATGGTAGTAGTCAAAGGTAAGTCATAGATCATGCTTGAGATGGGAGTTACAATCTCCCCATACCACAGATGATAATACGATGACATGTCTCATGTCGATACAGATCACAAAGACTCGGCCCTTCTGATGCTGCTGGCAGCCGAGGGTTGCTGTTTTCCCAGGACGCTCGAAACTGGATGAGATTGCATTTCTGGGCAGCACGAGAAACAGGCACCAGAGGAGTAGAGGATGTTGGAGGTATCTAGAGGTCATGGTCAGAATTAGTCACGTGGCAGCCATTTGCATCTATGTTATGCTCAGGTTCGGACGGATATAATGTTTTTCTTGAGATTAATTTGGGACACGGCTGTGCTAGGCTTCCAAGTAAGTTTGGCAACAAAATGCTTCTTCTCGATTCCGGCTGTCACAGCCCAAGTCTACCACTGTCGATCCATACATACCCTCCGGTCATTTATTCAGGCTATGGGAAAGCATTTGTTTAATGTGCAAATCATTCAATTATATATGCACAGGTCATATTCATTTCCCATAGCTTTGTTACATAGCAGAAGTACAAGAATATATATATATATATATTAATAATCCTCTCTCCCTTTTACTAAAACGGAGGGAGGGGCCCTCCCCCAAACACGGTGAATTATTTTTGTTATTAGGGGGTACTGGTATCACGGTGCCCCCAATATTCCAATGAAAACCCTAATAATAAAGATAAACAAGTCGATTTCAAATTTGATTAAATCAAATCCCTTTTTAAATTACAGTAATTCTATATAAAATATTGCCAAAAACTTGATTTCGAAGCTTTCCCCTAATATTCCAATGAACACCTTAATAATATTAATAATAAACATAAAAAAGCTCAATTTCAAATTCGATTAAATCCCTCATTAACTTCTATTTAAGATATTGCCAGAAACTGGATTTCGAAGCTTTCCCCTAATATTCCAATGAGAACCTTACTGTAATACTAAAAATAAACAGTAAAGCTTGTGAGATGGGATCCTAATAAAAAGCCTCCAGGTGGCAATCTATTTTTAGTAATACGGGGTTGAACCCATTGTTTCACCATCTTGTTCTCCTATTGATTCTCAAATACCACAATTAACAATCCAATCGTGCCCAACCAAAAAAAGGAAGTGCCACACCAATCCTATTTGTTGTTTATTTGGGGGAGTTTTAGTAATAGGTAGAAGGGATTAGAAGAATGATAGGTGTATCGATGCGTTCTTGGATCATTTTGGATGTACAATAGAATTCAATGATTTTTAATTTATATGCACATCTCACACACACACATATTATATATATATATATACTAGAGGAATGCTGTAAACCCAATGGTAACCCAATGATGGCAAACTTCAGATTTTGTGCCATCAATTTTTGATCAGGATCCGGATTGCACAGTATAGTTTCTTATTGGCTTTTCATAGTAGGGAATGTTATCTTATGAAAATCCCATGTCATGTCCCATAGACGACATAGACATCTAATGATTTTGGTTTATGCTTTTGTTTTTTTTGAAGGCCTCTACGATGAGCATCCTGACTTCATGGATTACTACGAGCGCTTTATTGGCCACTCAGCTGCGTGGGATGGGGAGGATTGGCCTCCAAAAAGTCCTAACAGTTGTGCTTGTGAATTGGAAAAAACCACATCCAATTGGACCAACCAAGGATTTAGGAACCACAGGTCAAACCAAACCTTCAGCTTGAATGAGCCTTTGAGGTCATTTCGTGAGTATTTACTCGAGCAAGTCTCCACCTTTCACGCGGGAGTCTGCTCGATGGTCGGCAGATCCGGAGAATCTCCAGCGCTATCATCAGGAGCCAGTGACTTTGCAATGCTGTGC